ATAATTCTATAGTAACTTAACGATTTTATCAAGTACTTAAGTTTTGATTTAGTAAATAATTAGGTATTGATAATAGGCCTTTTTATATATAATTACGTATAGCCTTTTTGAGATCTTAACTATAAATATTTTCTCTATTTAATTAAATTATAAACAATGTCATTTATTTGCAATGACTTTACATCCATATGTTTTAAGTAAAAAGCTGTTATATAAATAATGCCAATAAGCACTCTAAATTTATTTCTATTCATAATTTCGGACAAAATCGCACCTCATGCCTTTTTTACATTACAGATATTTTTAGGCGAAGGAACTGCAATTTTTAAAAAAATCTTTACTTGTACATAAAAGCTTCTACAATGAAATGTAAATATAATGATTAATGAATAGAGATAACAAGTTTCATTCATCAATTACCACCATTTCACTCATTATTGCTGTTGTTTAAATATTTTAACTAACAATAAACATTGCAATGTAACAAAATTTGGCTATATTTATTTTTGTAAGGCGTTTAATGTCATATCAGAAAGTACTTACAGAGCCGATGAAATTTACTCTTAAGCGCTCCGAAAACGAACGTCTGAGTACATTCGCTCCCAAAGCTAAAAGTTTGTAACAGAATAAAAAATATTCTACTACACTACCTCAATTTATTTTTAACATTTACACACACCAACCCTCGAAAACCTCACAGACGTCAAGTATTTTGTGAATGAAGTTATTTTTGGACACTTTTCTTTAAGACTTCTTTATCCTTCTAGAGATGTTATATTTAAAGTTGATAAAGGAAGGATTCATCTTTTTTCCAGTCTTAATGTCTCATGTTATTTTATTTGCAAGTATTGGGACTCTTGAAAATAATATGTATCTCATTATACAATTATCAAAGACAAAAATATTTTGTCACAGTTATGAAAATATTTTCTATAGCTATGTGGTAATATTATACTAGTGTAGTGTAGTATAATATTACTATATAGTATAATATAGATAGTGATCCTAGCTAGATAGATTTTTTAAGTCGGAAAAAAATGTTTATGAAGGTTTTGTCACAGCGTGATTCGTCATATTTTTAAAGGATGTAGTGAGCTATAATGTTGTTATTCGTAAATCGAATGATTTAAATTTTAAACAATCTCATTGATTCATAGCGGTCAAATAACTAAATCAAGTTCTCAGTAAATCAGTCACGATGTCCTCTCACATTACGTCCGCATTGCATTACTCATGGTATCCCTGTCCATATATTATAATAAATAGTATATTATAATATCTTTTAATAACTAGTCAATCGAAATCAGTCTTTATATCGTTTATTATTATTTATATGTGTATAAAAAACAACAGATATTATAATTTAATCTAACTATGTCCGATCCAGATATCTCTTCTTAATCGATGCCACAAAACTGCTCCCGAAATATACGATTCAGATTTAAAACTCTTTTTTAAGAAAATTAATGATCCACCAATGAGATTGTGCCCTACTCTTAGACGTTCAAGTCTTTCACTTAGAAACTATAACTTGGTGTTGCAGGTACAAACATCGTTTTCTGAAATTAATTTGCCCCTCTTGTCTCTAATGGAATCACGGTAGAACTCTCAGCTAAGTCCGCTTTGATTTCAATACAATGCAGTGATTCATCAACGAAAAGCACTTTGTACCAGAACTCTTGACAATCTTGGTTGATAGGTATGCTTTCTACAAATTTACGGCAAAGAAAAATTTCGTTCATACGAGTACACCTACTTCTTGAATAATGTATTTAATAACAATGCATTTTGTGTACCCGCCACTATCTAATGTTGTTATTTAAAATATACTAATACTAAAACAAAGGCAATTTTGTCCTGCAATTAATTTATAAATATATAATTATGTACACATATCACATAAAATTTTATATTCTTGTACTTTTATTGTTACTGACAAAGGGTAACAAAAAAGACAAATTTGCTCTATAAAAACTGCTACATTGGATAATGTACTTCTACATTGAGTATTAGGTATACCGCTTGAATAATATTTTCCTACAAAAATGATTAAATCATATGAATTTTCAAGTATCATATTTTGAATAGGGATGTTGCAGCCACAACATGACGACGTCTACACGAGCAAATATTAGACAATTATCGAAGTTGTGATTTTTCTGCTGTATTAAAATTTATTAATATTTATATCTTATAATATGAACACAAGTTTACCAACAAAAGGTTACTAGTAAATAACATTTCAACTAAACAGTGCGGAGTTATCGGGCGGAACATCTTTTATCGGATAAAATTTACCTGACCATATTTCACACTTATTTGACATTCCAATTATTTTGATAACAACAAAAGCACGAAAATGGAATACCGAATATAGGATAAAACAATATCATACATATTATTTGCTTATAGATAACAAAATAAAATTTAGGCTAAATTAGAAATATCCATACGTTTGACGTAAAATCATATAAATATTACTTATACATCATACATACTATACTCATTGCCTGATTTTAGAAACTATATAAAGTTACTTAAATAAATGTTATTATATTTACAGAATAAAGACTTTAAAAACTGTTTCCTTAATCAAATACGAGCTTCATTTACCTTTCATATAGCTTTTATAAAGACATTTATAATACACGTTCTCTTCATATGACAGTTACAAATATCCGATGCAGCTCAACTCTTAATGGAAGAAATAAACAGAAAATCCATTTAATATCCTCATAGAAAATAACTCACTATACCGTTGTTTGTTACTGATAAACGTACATTCGAATCGAAATTAATATTAAAGTGAAAAAAAATTTAAGCTTTCCTACTTTTGGATTGACTATTGGAATGTTTCGATATTACTATAGCTGGAATGTATTGATTATTATTAATATATAATTATTGACAATATCTCTAATCAGTAATAAAATTATATTTAAGTGTCAAAAACATGTCCCCCAAGATATCTTAGAAAATATCTTAGAAAAAAATAAGTCTCTTAGACAATTTGGGCCACAACTTTTTAAAGGAAAAACTTAAGGTGGTAGATCCTAGCTACGGTCAAGTGATTGCAGCTCGAACATGGGCTGGCTCGACTGGGGAAGTAGATCTCTCGCAGAAGATCTGCGTGAAGTAGCCTTAGTGGCTGCGTTTCGTTCGATGAGTCAGAGAGCCGGTTGCCATTTCCCTTTTCCCATCCTTTCCTACCCCTTCCCTTTTTCCTCCCCTTCCCATTTTTCCTCCCCCTCTTCCCAAATCAAGGGTGGTGACACATCCGCAACATGTCTTATGTCGCGGATGTCCATGGGCGACGGTACTACCTCCATCAGGTAGGCCGTTTGCTCGGTTGCCCTCTTTAACATAAAAAAAAAAACAAAAGAACAGAACAAATAAAAGTAATTTAAAAAACTTTTCAACAGATATACGATTGAAACAAAAAAATATTTCGACATATTATAGAAAGTTACTAAATATAGGGGAACAGCTGTGTGAAACAAACTGTCATTACGTATACAATCACATTTCATCATCTAAAATCCAATGTAGCACATGTCTGCATCGTCGCAATTCATACGAAGCGTATCCCATTTCTCATTCAATAACCCAAAGTTGAAGCTGTAATATGACAACATTTATCAATGAAAACTTTTAACGTGAACGATGCGAACTTACTTATTCAATCACATTTTGTATACGCTTTTCCCAAATTGCAGTTCAATATAAATATATATAATAGAACACTATATAGGAATATCTTATTTATAACCAAAGCAAGTCCTTTTAAAGAAACACAAATAATTGATTGGAGGCATTAAAATAGACGCAAACAATTACTTAAAAAGATTATAATTACTTAAATGTTTTGTTAATTGAGAAATCCACTATGTATTTTTATAAGTGTTAATTTAAATGTTGATTTTGTGGATTCATTCTATTCATACAAACAAAACATCTTTTATTACATTCTTAAATTATTAAATAAGTAAATAATTAAACTTCTGTGGACGATTTAATTTGTTAAGATTATTTATCATTGAAATATTTAATCACCTTATTAATACGCTATATGAGTATCAGGAATTTCCATATGAAATACATTATTTATTTGATGAAAATTGCTCACTTATTCAAATAAAACGTTCCACACACATTGTTAATATCAAGTGTTCTACAGCGTTATTACAATTTAATATTTATTTCCATAGCAAATATAATTTTACAAAATCATTACCATTCACTGCGATATAAATTTTCTCGTCGTGATGATTAATTCCGAACCCGTGGTTCTTTGCCTTGACGGGATTATAAAAACAAGATCACCATTTAACTATCAATACTTCCTCTATAGCGTTTAAAGAGACAACATTTAATTTTGTTGATAAAAACCCGTATTTTTTTGCCGTAAACGTAAATTTGCTGTCAATTGGAATTAGATCGTATTAAGGCTGCCTTGTGATATCATGTACAAATTTATACTAGGTTTTGTGAGTATTTTGTGTGAAAAGTATATTGTTTGCATTATTTATAGTAAAAAATAAGTCAAAGGAATAAAGTGATTGTGTTGTTTAGGTACTAAATTCGCTGATTTAGAACCTTAAAATTTATATCATAGCAATTTTTACCAGTTCTGTTTAGTGTACTTATCGTATTAGTAGAGTAAGTACGTCAGCTAAAAGGATAATTTTTTCTTTCAGATTGTAATTAACTCTTTTGTTTCTGCATTTCCAAAGACAGAAATTATAAATAACATTAATCAATCCCAAGAAGACGATCATATTCAAGAACAGGAGAGTCCATTTTTATATAGAGAATTAAAAACAACCTCAGAGAGACCTATTTCTAATTATGAAGTTACAGAAATAGTTGTAGATGTACCAGATAACAGAACAGTAGGTCCGATCATTACTAATTATACAATCCCCAGACCGCTTAATACTGTTCCCGTAGTTACAGAAACAGAAAATGTTAATAACAATGGAGAAACTGAAAGAGTTACAATGTCTACAGACCGCGAAAAAGAAGGGAAGAAGAATTACGTGAGTATTTTTCATGTGAAAGCTGAGTTTGAAGATAAAACAGAGCAGACAACTCATGTAGTTGATAATCATCACGTGTCACACATATCTGGTTTTAAAAATTACTTACACACAATCAAACAAGGAATAATAGATGGCGTTAAAAGCTTCATCGGTAAACACAAGGTAAATGATGACGATTACGAAGGTCCTTTGGGATTTATAAATAAATTACATAAAAAAAGTACAGATGCTGCTCATCACTTTCACGATGCGGTCTTCGGACACTCAACTCATGAACATTACTAATTTAATTCTTACCTAAGTTTAATAAAAAGTGCAAGTGAATATCCCATTTTTATTTATGTTAAACATATTCTCATTTTCATATACATCACAATAAAATGGAAAGTTAAAATTTTTCAAGTTACTCATTTATATATTAACTAGTCTTGAGGTGCTAGTACGCCTATGCATGCTGTAAGTGATTTTATATATGCAATAACTTCTATTATTTATAAAATTTTATAAAACAATCACAGTTATTTAAAGCAAACCTCTAACGAACTAACGAACAACTTAGCAATAGTTTGTAAACATAGTTGTCAATCCGTTTGTAATAATATTAATGACATTATTCACTTTCAAACAATATCAAAGAACAATACACAGTATATTAAAAAGGCCGACTTTCACGCCACACTTCTGTATGCACATAATGTTAAACGCCTTTGTTACGCTCCATTGATTTAGTATTTCCTATGACGCGAGTCGCGCTAGACTTCTTTGAACATATGACATAGAAAAACGATTAACAGTAAGTGAATCAGTTATTATTATCTTATATTTATGAAGATCTCATTCGTAATGATATATGCTATATGGATTTTTATAAAATTGTTTCTTTCTACCTTTAACAGAAACTATATCTATTAAATATATATGACCTGGTAAAATTCATAAACATTTGGAGCACGTGTTACGTACAAGCTATACCTATCCCAAAAATCAGACACAACATTAAACAATTACGGTTAAATTTCCAAAAGGGACAAATAACTTTTAGTAAAAAAGATAATGAAAAAGCAGTTACTTTTAAGGTGTTAATTTTCTTCAGTTAACATACTTTATATCACTGTCCCACTAGTTGTATTTCTTATATTAATTTATCGTGTGTACTGCGTTTATTTTTGAAAATTTTCAACAACTATATTTTATGACCATTAACAAATCTTGTAGTTTATTTCGTTACGTAATATCGTTGTAACTTGAATTATTATCATAATAAAAATATTTGTAAATATTATAAAAACTACACTATGAAAATAAGTTAGCAATTTTTTTCTGTTCGGTAAAAAAAACAATTTTACCATATGAATACATCATTCAAATGTTTCAACCATTTTCGTATGTCAGTAGCTTTGCAAACAATTTTGCATTCATACAGACTTACTACCTCACAATAAATTTCATAGCATTAGTGCAATTTTGCGAAGTTTAATTTACACAAATAAATTGGTAATTTTCTAAAACAATAAACTAAAATCCTTTAATACTGTTTCATTGGTTTCAGATATTATCGTGATTAAAGTGACGACAAGAAAAGGAATTAAATATTCTAGTTCTGTGAGCCCTTTTTTTCAATATTTGTTAGGTTGTAAAAGGGGTCTACGGCTTTTTTATATGTACACATATAACATTTTCCTAATTGCATGACAAAACGAATAGGCAAAAATAAAATGCATGTTAGTCTTTGTATCCGCCTTTAATTCTTCGATTTGTCCCTCGTTTTGTTTATTATATAGATTTTATTCTCTTATCTATAAGTTTATGAAAGTTATTAGCAATTTTCAAATAATGTATGGACAAAAACTAAATGTTCAAAAGATAAAATGAAAAGGTTTCCTTTTGAGCATTTATCTTACATGTAAAAATTGTCATCCCAAAGGTCTGATAAAAGATACTTAGAGGATAAGGTCTTTTGTTTCCTTTTTTAAATTATGACTGTATTTTGATTGGACTTGAGGTCGGTAAAAATTATAATTTCTGTATTGAGCACTTAAAAAATATTATAACGTTCTTTATTTAAGAATGACTTTAACGTTAAACATTTTTACAAATCACTTTACACTATGCATAGGAATGTGCACAAATAAATAAAAAAGAAAATAAAAATCATAACTAAAGAAATTACACAACTCAGGTAAAGAAAAAATTTGCCAAATTTTTAAAAGATATCATTGTCACTGTAATTTACTTTACGAGATAGATATATTTCAATATCGATAAGAACATTGCATTAAAGTTTAATGTTTTTAAAATGTCTACTAACTATAAATCAAAATTAAACAAAATTTAGCTTATTCTGCTTATTTTCGAAATATTGAAATTTAGAGAATACAGAGACGTAAATTGTATGATACCCACAAATGTTGTACTATCAAATGCTAATAATATATATTCTGTATTACTCGTAAAAAATAAATATATGCATATCTATGTTAATATTCCGCTAATTAAAGTACAAAGATACCTATTACGTTTAAATTGAGATGATAAGGTTGTCGTATCGTTTATTTGTAAAACCAAATGCAAGCATTAAATAACTGTTTATTTTTTTATTTGTAACCTTACTTATTTGTCATGGTTCTTAAGAATGTTTTATAATAACCTTCTCGGACCTTTGAGAGTCATCAATCTTCCTTGTTAATGAAGGAAAATTAAACAAAATATAATCATCTAATTAAAAGAAATGTCAAACATATGATAATACATAACTTTATTCAATAGTATTAGTTAATAAAGTCAGTCTTCAATAACAGCTTTGTCTTGCTGGGGGATTTTAAAAAGTATTTTTATAATTCTTTTATCCTCAACATTCAACAGTGGTTTTTCCAAATTCGTCTTATGGTTTTTAATAATTCATTTGGAAAGTCCTTTTGAAAAACTCGAAAAGTCTACTTGTTAATGTCAATTTAAAAGTAACTACATAATGTCTTCGATTTCTTTGAACTTGACTTTAAGAGATGTGAATGCAATAAATGTTGTACAAAAAATATATAACCCGACTTTATAAAAGCAGTCGTTAAACGACCTTTAGAAATTCTTCAAATGAACAAAAATGAATTTTATTATCTCGATTCGATATCCCAACAAAGTTGTTTATGTTTTAATAAAATTATAATGTCCTCTAACCGATTCCAGCGTAATAAAGGAAGGATGTTGAAAATAATTACAGATTTTCTTTATTTCAACAAATAATGGATAAAAAGATTATTTTCACTCAATTTATTACCAGTACTTTTGGTTAGTATTATATACTAAGTAACCTTAAAAACCATAATCTACTTAAAATAATAATAGCAATATTTATGAAAATTTATTAAGAACGATAATATCATACGTTTATCATAATTTTAAATGTCGTCCAAATTGTTAGAAAGAGTTTCGCTCCTAGTCATAATTATATAAATTCAAAAAAAATTAAAAGGCTGAACAAAGTTATCGTTAGAAACATGCATAATCCAATTGAGGAGTCTTTTAATACAAAGCTACCAAATGATACGGAAGCAAAATAAACAACTACGTGTATGTAAAACGGTTTATCTAAGTCGAGTTAATAAATAAATAGCTTTATTTTGAATATAGTTATTTCGGCCTTTTAATACTTTGATTTGTCTTTATCCACAGAATTTTAAAAGTTATTGAATATTAAGCCGTATTGAGAGCAATTTTGAAGTTTCTTTTTTTAGAAATTTCTTGATAATTTATTAGGGAATATAAACAATTATCAAATATACACGTCATACGGATTCAAAATCAATATCTGCTTGCAGTTTTTCCCAAAGTCGCCTAGGATCTATATACCTATTATTAAAATTAAAACAATGTTTCATTTCACTTTTTAAAAACTCCGTGCGATACAAATATACTTACTTTACTTGCAATGTTGCTAATTTTGACCGGTATGCCAGCTGGTCACTGAACCCTACATTGTTTGTCCGCTAAGCACGATGCCAATGCAAACTGGTTCTCTCACACCACTAAGTAGTGATGAGGTCATTTAATGTTTTTAACTAATTTCATAAAATTTTTGAATTCTTTTCTTTATAAAATACTTCATATATAAATTTTCTCCAGACACAATAACTGTTAACTGTTTTAATTTTATGAAATTCGATGAATGTACCAGTCCAAATCTTATTGCTATGATTTTAGAAATAAAATATATACCATAGATTTTGCTAATGGAAGAAAAAAAAATTGTTATAATTAATATTTTTGCAAATAAAACTATTTCAAGTGCTGTAACAACAACATTAGAAGATAGCAATTAAACGACAAAACAAGTCTAGTTGGTCGGAGGTCAGTGGTCGGATGCTGCAGTCCGGAGAGGCGCGAGCAGCTCACGCACGTGTCCAACGCTCAGGTGAGTTACAAATAATTATAATAAAAAAAAAAATACGATGCGAATTTATTTATTTCTTGGTTCATTTATTAAATCCAAAAAACTTTGCAACAATTTTAATCTGCTATTTTTTTTGGATATGTATATTAAGTCTTATATATTCTAATAATTTTGTATGAATTATAGTTTCAACATATACATAATTATTTCTCTTAATGCACAAAACTATAGAGAATTTTAAAGTCGTCACCGGTTTTTCTACATTTCTTACTGCAGAATGGATAAGGGTTGCTTTTTGTGATCTTTTTTATGCTTTGCGTTCTTTTATTTTTAAATTATTATTTCATATATGTATTTCAAATACAATGTATTATGAATCAATATGAGAAAGATTTTTTTAATTGAAAACCAGCATATGCCACTGATTTTAAATGAAAATTTTAAAAAATTCCCATTGTTAAGAATTGTTAGCTTTACAGTTTACTGTTTAGTAAAACTAAGAATTATTATAATATGACAAAAAGATTCAATCTCTAATATTCGCTATTGAATCTTAAGTCTTTTTGGTATAAAAAGTCATTCATATGATGCCCTACAATCTCAGATAATCGCGTGATCTAATCACCGAAATTCAATCAACCATTCAAAATATTAAAAATTGGAAAGACATATGAAAGAACCGAAAAAAATTTACTATGATCTTATTTACAGAAGAACATACTTGTTTTCATATATCAAACAGAACCATCTACTGTCTTTATTCACGCAAAATTTTGTGATAAATTACAGAATGTTAAAAAATAGAACATAAACTAATAATATAGTATTTTCCAACGTATGTAGTAGTTAACTAAGGTTTACATTAAAACTTTTTTGAACACAGTCGTTCTAAATTGAAAAATCCGTTTATTAAATTAAAATAAATAAGATTTATCTTGAGCGTTATATTTAGATACAAGAAAATTTAACGGTACCCAAGTTCTCTCACCTCTATATGTTTTAATAATATGTAAAGTGAGATACATGAATTCAACTCACGATCAGGCTCTGCCACCTGCGACTACGATCTTGTTTAGACATAATTCTTTGTCGCAATTAAAAACCTTAAAGACAATTAATGTTTCGATGAACTTCTCAAACAGAACTCAACTCCCATATATTTTTGCAGTTTATATCCCAAAATTGACCTCGTATACATTTTGTTGAGATTTAATAACGTCGTAAAGTGTCTCATAAATAAATCTTCCTCTACTTCAAGCCCTATAAAATTCATATCGACTCTTTTAAGTATCAGCAGATTCCTTTTATTGTTATTTCTTCTTACCGTTTGGGTCATCGGCTAATAAGGTTTTGTATGTTTCGAACATCGAAGAATCTTTTATAGTTTTGGGTTAAAATCCTTAGCAAAATAATATTATATGTATGAATCATTAGTTAAATATCTTACAAATAAAACGATAAAAATGTGGTTTCGTGTATTATATTATATAGAAAAATGGAACAAACAAAAACATAAATCAAAACATACTTGGTATTTATTGTTTCGATCCCTCGCAGACAATCCAGTGCTCAGACTGATTTGTTGAGATAACATTTGTATATGATTTACAAATATTTTATATCCTTATAAATGTTTCGTTTATAGTAAAATTTAATTTATTGTCAGAAACTTTAAAAGATAATTTACAAAACAATGACCCCTGTTTAAAACGTATTTTGTGTAAGCAAGTTAGTATATTTTAAAAACCACCCGACAAAGTAAACACAACATTAATGGCATTTAATCAACATCGATTAAAAAGCAATTAACATCATTTTACTACTAAGACTTTAACTGCTATCGAATCTAAAAATTTATTATACACGGAAGAAATTCCAATCTAGACCAGATAGGACCTCGACCGTTATTTGGAATGGGGACAGAGCCACTGTGTATAGACCCTTACGTCTACCTATACTCGTAGTATCAACTGATCAATGTGATTTTAATAGATCCTTATCTGTTTTTGTTTTTACTAAATTTGCGTCATGCTGGCTGGAAACAATACAGTGGATCGAAATTTTGTAGGTACCGTTATAATAGTTAAACGATGATTAATATTTAAAATATTATAATTCTAGTTATGTACAACTCGTAGAATATGTTCACACACATATATATATGTATATATATTTAAACTCGTTACTTATAAAACCAAACCATATACTGGTCGTTTAGCATAGCAATGAATCAATTTGTCAAGAAATTGAATGTAATTTCATTGATTTCATTACTTTATGCGCAGTTAGGTTACAGGGAACGAGCAAATTTTCTTAAATAACATTTTCTTATACCAGAAGTCACGAGTTAATGTGTTCCTTTTTCTGCCAACTAACTGAAGATATTATTATAATTTAAAATTTAAACAGTTTTATTGTAGAGTATTTTGCCAAAAACACTTATGTATATAGGGTACCTACTGGCTTTTCTTTGTTTATTATTGAACGACGTCTCTGTATACTGTAAATTTTTACGTAATGCATTTTCATTAAAAAAGTTTTCTTGTCCAAGAGTTCTTAAGCGTGTTTCCTAAAATTTCCTAGGAATTAGAATACTACAAATTTACAAATACAAATACTACATTAGGAACTAGTATTTTCAAAATAATTAATCAAACTCTTTCTAGAATTTTGCAAATTTGTTAGCCTTGATTTTTAACTCCTAGTTAAACGTTCCTTATTATATACTTATGTATAAAGAAATTACATAATATTGTTATTGTCTTTTGTATATTGCAATATGTTTAAATAAAAAATCCTTTTTTGAATAAAAAAATGCGATCTCTATTATTTTAGATTTCTATTAATAATTATAGTGTTGAAATTTTACTCTTTTTACTGTGTTGAAATAATATTTTATACATAAAGAAATAACAATTAATATTCAATAACTCTGTTACAGTTCACCATGTTTCGTATACTTACAAGCTGTGCAGTGCTCCTGCACCTATATATTGTGGTAAGTTATTTTCATCTGTTTGGTCTAGATTTTTCTTTCTGGAAACCAAGAACTTTGAAGAACATTATTTGTAACAAAACAAATGTTCTTGGCCGACTTTAAAAACTATGTAGGTTCCGTATTGAACCAATGTATATACGAATGTGTCTCCGTGGTCTCAAAAACTACTTCTCGTATTCAAATGGCGTATTCATCCCAGGGTTTATTTTATTGTTCAGATTTTAATAACAATCTTCGAAGTTTGTTAATAAGATTGTTCTATTGATTATTAATTAAAAGCGAATACAACTATTCTTTGAAATAAATAACGGCTAACAGATTTTGTCTCGGATATATTTATGTATAAACTTCGTTAGTGGGCAATATGCATCCTGATAATTTTTAGTGACACTTTTATTTTCTATCAATAGGCGTTACACCTGAAAGCGGCTTTTTAGTATTCATTCGTTTTCACTTTTAGACAATTAGATTACTTGTTCAATTTTTCCGTTTATGTTATTGTACATAAAATTCCTTTAAATAAATGAAACCTTAACGAAAAAACATTGTAAATTGCTCTAACAATTAATTATGACAATTTGCAAATGACAAAACAATGTTTAATGTCACTATCATAAATATTGTAGTCTCTAAACATCGACCCGGTGTTATCAGAGCTCATAAATTAATAACATTGGTTTTGAATTCCTAATTGGAAATAATTACTAAAACAATTAATGTCAATTGTCATTACTATTGGGAACTCGGAATTAGCCGCTGTTATAAATCTGTGTATAATAAACATCAAATGGAATTGGATTTATGAAACAAGTCTCAGGTAATAAATGACTGATTTTATTACTCAATATTGATAAGTGATGGATTAAATATACATAATAAAAGACCACTTTTTTATAATTAAAAACTCACAATTAAATTTATTTGAAAAACAATATTTAAGTTTATGTTATTTATATGAAACTAGGAGTAGCTAAAATGCTACGTTGTTCATTAGAAGTAATATGTTAAGATTATTAGTCCTCTGTTGCAGAACCGGTAAACCGTTACTTTTTTAAATTTTAACAAACAACTCAAATTTTATTTAACCCATTAACTTTATACAATTTAATAAATAGCGTAATAGGCTTAGTGTCACAGACGATTTAAACATGTTTCCAATTATCCTTAAGCACAATGTTCAGTTTTTTCTTCGACGAATTGCCCTTTTTAAGGGTAGGTGTAGAAATTTAAGAATCGTAAATTTGCATTTAAAATGACGGTTATAAACTTTTAGGTTCTAGCAGCGAAGCAGCAGGTACAACTTTCAGATTCATATCTACCTGTGGCTATGCAAGTTATAGCTCACCTCACGGATCAGATGGCGTTTGAAGTGAAGGATGACGTGCCCAAGAGCACCACCGCCAGGCCCTTGTATGTCACATCAGATTACTTCGCAAGCTTACCCAAAACAGGCTGGTGGATAAGATATGGTATAGCAAGGTGACAGTCTTCTGCTTTAGTGCAACGCTTTTGATTTTTCTAAATATCTTTCCTAATACTTCAACCTTACTCTTTTTAACCACTTGCTCTCTATATTCTTAGCTATAACATGCTTATAAGCTTATATGGTATTTTATTAAATACATGCCATCGTATTTTAGTATCAAATAAGTTTAGTTTTAAATTGTTAAATTTACTTTAAGACTAAACAATATTATTAACTTTTGTTGAAAGTATTAAAACAACTTCTTTTCAGAGACACAACCACAGCATTCCACAAGCCTGGTCTCTATGCACCAGCTTCGCCTCCAAAACCATCAGAAAGACAAAAGAGCAATAACTACGTCCTTTTGCCAGTTGAACAAAACTATCAACATACTATCATAGAACCACAAGAGAAGAAAACTGAAGAACCATTGTTGGCAGTGCATAATGAGGAAGTCAGTCCATTACTGGAACCTCCTCCGAATCATCCTCATCATTTGCTACCCTACAATCCTATCAAGTATCCGAGAAGTTCGGATGATGAATTCAATGAGGAGAACCTTCAATATTTATCACCACAAGTAAGGGACATGATCAGGATGGCAAAAAATCCTGATGATGAAAGATTGATAGATGTATGGGATGGTCTAAGAGCCAACCCCCTGGAAGTATCATCTAGAGGGAAACTATCGACCTCGAACTTAAGATTGCTACTTCTGTACGATCTCTTAAGTAGAGACGCGAAGAGACAAAGGCTCTCTGACTACAGTGTAAGTAAACATAATTAAAAATACTCAATCTTATATTTGCTTTTCTGTAAAGGCACTGTTTAATGTTTTTAGTATAGTTGTATCACGGCTTTGTTCTCTAATTATTATTTTTTTGTCCGGTCGTTCGATTTACGACAAGATTTAAAGGTTTACACAACATTTAAGTTATAACTATGATAGTAATCCAGATAAAACGCTTTATATTTCTTATATGATAGCTAGGATAGCATGTACATATTATGTAGAATATAAGAATTAACATTCCCGCTTCTATTGACTCGTCTTTATCTATTCATCTTCTTAGATTAGCAACTTCAAATACTAAGGTCATTTGCATTCTGGACAAAACCACATCATGCTAAAAGGAAATAAAATTGTTCAAATTTAAATAATTATTATTTGTTCAATATATTCGTGTAAGGTAGATATATAAATATCGATCTCGCAAAACAAACATAGCAACATCATTTAAAACAAGTTGTCTTTGAATAGTCATATTTGATTAAATAGTATTCAAGATGTACTGACAACTGTAGGTATATATGTATAACAATCAAGATATCTCTATTTATATGTTGTTTATTATGGAAAATTATTTGCGAGCTTTACGAAATCTTCCACAGACTCTAGTCTTGAATATATGCATTTTCCTTTTCTTAACTTTTATTTTAATACAAACATTATTTCATTTTATCCATACTAATCGACGCTGGAATAAAAAATCAATGAGACTAGTCTTCCATAAATATATCATGAAAAATATCAGAGAAAACTTTTTACCATAATTACCATCATAATTTTCGCCGTGACTGTCTAGGGTAGTTGACCTTAAACAAAGTCATTGCCAGACAAACGGAAGATACTAAAAGAGATTTCTTTATGTAAATGGTTTTTATGACGCTCCTTTATTTTCGTTTGATTAAATGAAAGTTTTTCGTATATGTGAATGCTCTCTATGTTTATGAGAAATACTACAATAATGTTTTTGTTTTAGACGTGTAGGATTCTTGACACAAACAAAATAAATATTGGATCAACTTTATCGACTTGTCAAAATTCACAAGAGAAAAGACTTTGTATTTTTTGCTTAAGATGACTATTAAGAGATAATATTATTAACATTATCCTCTCAATAGTCTAAGTATATATTTACATTGCATGTACCGTTTTGTAATCGGATCTGGATAAAGTTTCTCATTCAGAAATATCATACAAACAGGTGTTAGTTAGTTAGTAGGTACTAAATAAATCTTTAATCCTACATGGGTCTGAGGTAAATGGAAATTTAAGTTTCACAGCCCGGTATTTCAAATAAAAGATTTCCATCAAAGCTCCAAAAACATGTTTTCTTAATAAATACATATAATGTTCGAAAGTCAGTTTACTTTAGTCAAAGGCTGCATTTGTAGTATCGATATAAATCTCCAAACGGACGCCGTAAAACTATTAGTAGAACCCGATAATCTTCTCTAAACAAAGAAAAATGTTGAGAGAAAAAATGTATATCATTAGCATATTTAAAATATTCAAATGCTTTTAGATACAAAAAGTTCAATTTTACTGAATATAAAATTTTAAAAAAAGAACGAACAAAAGAAGATAAATTTTAACGGACCATAAAACTGTTTTATGAATTTTATCTTAACAAGAAATATTTTCATGTTACGTACATGACCTACTATATTTTTATACTTGTAGGAAAAAAGTATCTTAACGTCGCTTAATTTATTTAGTGACTCCGCTTCTAACTAGATTAGGATCGGCGCCCTTTACGGTAACGAACTAGAAAAAAGTTATAGACTCACATCTACTTTGGAATTATTAAAGGTATAAATTTTGTTTTGTTTTTAAAATAAAAAATTCATTTATTTTTATATAATATTACTAATAATCATTTATACATACATATGTGTATATAATTCCATTCTTTTCCAATAAATTTTACCGACAAATTAAATCTTGGCTTATCTCTGATATTTTTTAAGACTCAATTTTATTTATACTTATAAAACTAGATACAATAAATTTCTTTTAGTTCTTTTAAATATCGTATTTTGCAATATTCTAATAGCTGTCCAACAACGTCTAATTATTTTAATTAGCTTATCATATTGAAACCTTTAAATGACCGAATCAAATAAAAAAGAAAATTGTTAAAACGTTTTATTCCTGAACTTTGGCATATTGTAAATGTCAATGTATTGTACGTTTTACTGTCCGAACGTTACTAATGCTTATATGTATATGCTGTCGTTTGATAAGGATAAAACATAAATGTAGTTTCATAGAGATCGGAAAGTAATGAAGTAGTAATTTTTATATAAGTATAACAACAAGATTAAGTTAATTATTATTTGTATCTAATCTTGTAATGGTGTAATTCTAGGGATTTTCTCCTGACGTGATGAAGAACCTGGTAGAGTCTTCAGACGGCGGTGCGAGTGAACAACTCCGATTCGCGCTTTCCAAGATGGTGGAGAGAAATGATTGCGGTAACGACTACGCTAATAACAGAGCTAAAGAAATGGTTGTTGAACTGGCAAAGGCAGAATCTAAACTGTCTTCCGAGCTCAGATACCTACAGCCTCTCGTATATAAGTTCTAATACTTGATGTAATTAATGCCATGTATTACATTTTAACATATTATTTTATAAATGTTTCTGTAATAGTATATTTTAAAGATTATTCACTGGCTTTACTTTTTATAGGTTTAAAAATAACAAATAATAAGCAAAATAAAAAACATTTTTATGTTCAATCTCATTTATTTTTATTATTCATACAATATTTATTTTCTCATGAAAATTCCTTACGGAAGACGGAGAACGTAATTTTCGTTCTGTATATTTAACAATGTACAAGGTAAGCTTTTAATCAAAAACCGCAAAAGTTCTGAACGTTTACAGAAATTTTAAACGCTTCTGTAATATAACGTGCAAGCAAACGAGTCACACCGAGTGAAATACGAGATACTTGTTGTTCATCTATTACCATGATAAAGTTTTATTGAGAAATATTATTGTAAAAGTTTTAATAACCTTCTATTGCTTGATGATTTAATTTACAAAATAAAATGAATAATAAATGTAAGGACAGATGGCTGAGAAAAAAGTCTCTTTGTTTTATGTTAGTATAAATTTTAATTTAAAACTTGATTGAATTCTTCCTTTGATTAAACCAATCTATAAAATTCAATCTACGTGAACTTATAAAAGTTTCAATTTCATTTTTTGCCTTAAAATAGGTTGTGTAGTAACGAATGTTTAATACTTTCATCTTTAATTGCCTACGGTACATTTTAAAGCAGGGCTTTAAGATTTTTTTAAATAGCAAAATCTATAATATTTTGTTAAAATTAGACATTTAAATTTTTACAAACAATGCAAACAAAAATAACTAGCATAATTAAACCTTGTTTAAACACTATTAAAAACATTCTAGTTTAACAAGTTAGAGCACGTACGAACAGATTCGCAATTCCAAAAGATATAATATTATTTTTCTTAATTAATTACTTGTTTAATTTAATAAAGCCTTCCTTAAGGGCCTTTTAGCGGACATTACCATTCTTGTAATGGAATGTTATTATACTTATAATTAAATATAAATACGTTGAGCCTCTTTCGCAGGTGAATTTTAAATAAAATTTGATGTAACGTTAATCAAAATACATTTAATTTTAATATTCAGTAAGCCTTTTTAATGGATTCTCCTAAATATTATTCTCAAAGGGATGTCTTGAAGTAATTAGTTTTTTATTTGTTTCCGAAACAGACTTTTGCTTTTTATTAGATAGGAAAGGAATGTTATATTTTGTGACATAAAAAAATGCGATTAAAATTAATTACTTTTCATATTCTTTTGATCTCTGAGCTTTAGACTAACAAAGAAATGTCTGCTTAAAATATGAAAATATAGATTATTTAGCAAAATGTATTAAGACATATTAAGTTTTCCAACTTATAAAGGAAACCGTGGGCAGTTAGTATTGGCCATCATATGTATAACACGGGCAATTGGATTTTAAATAATATTAAAATAATGGCATAATTTTTACGCTCTACTTACAAAAAACTAAATTTAAGTATAAAGACTTTTTTTTGTCACAAATTCTTACTTTAAGACTTATAAAAAAAAATTGTAAATTCTTTCGTTATTTCATTAATTTGATTTTCCTTTTTTTGGAAGTCTTATGTATCAACTCATTTTCTTTTATAATTAACTTTCAAAGAATGTGAAAGTTAAGAAAGCCAACAAATCGATTTGATTTATTAATTTATCTAAAATAATTTTCGGTCACAGAAATTCATATTTTTTTTATTTAATATTGATATGCTAGAAAATAGAAAAACAAAGAAAGCATTGTTTTATATGAGCTTGTTGAAATATCATTTCAGTGAATACGAGGAAAGCGAAAAATAAATATATTTGCAGATATTCCCTGGTTCAATATGTATCCTGGAATAGTTTGCTGGTGGGTCTTCATTTCAATAATAAAATGTTGCGTCCATTCTATATGAAAGAATTTACAAATTTGTGATTGAAATAAATACTGAAAAAATATATAGTCCTTAAAAATCCTGAAGTATCATGATTCTATTAAAAAGATGACAGAACACCGTTAACGAATTTACACAATTTTAATATTCTTGATGATTTTAATATCAGGTAAGAAGACATACAATATATTTGTAATAAATATTTATTTTACAACAATAATCGTCTGTGATACTAATTACATTTCTATTTTAATACATTATTTCGAACAAAACTATTTATTTCAACCATTATTAATGTTTTTTTTAATTATATCAATACACAAGATTTTCTTTCTAATAACTACCTGGAAATAGATTTCCTTTAAACGTTATTTGAAGGTTTGAAATTACCTAATTATTTAGTTTGTTTTATTTGACGAGGATGTTGAGAAATACGCAACTATTCCGCCGTACACTAGTTGTATGAGTGATCCTATTAATTCCACCACGTATATAAATGGTGATGTGTTACGTTTCGTTTCCTTTACATCATCGTCATCATCAAAGCCAAAGTTATCATCCTCATCGGTATCACTGATTTCGTTTATCGTATCATTCAATCCTATCTTTGCTGGTAGATAATTTGAATAAAGGGTAATCTTTTCAGGTTTTTCTTTCTTCGTTGGACCGTCAAATGTCAGTTCTTCAACGTCTCTGGTTTCTGAAGTCTTACTGTCTGATGGTTTTGTTTCTTTATCACTGGTATCGTCTAGTATCTCTATTTTATCCCAAGGTTTACTTGTTGTCGTTGTTGTGGTTGTAGAATTTCCGTTAATTCCCAAGAATCTGTAATTTTATAAAGATACCTTTTAAATTTAGAGAAAAAATATACTATTTTTATTTATTATAAAAATTTATTTTATGGTAGACGAAACTATGTACGTTCTTACCGCGCCTAATTAATTATATTAATTTTTATAATTAATATTATAGTCTTTACTAAACATCACCCACTACAAAACGATGTTTTTCCAAGTAAACCAATTCCAATTAAAAGTATCTAAACTAGACGATGCAGTGAATTTTTACATAGAAAGGGTAATTACAAAACCGATTATATCCATATAATAAAGTTTACTCCAGGGATATTGAAAAATACTTCTCATCAAGTATCAGCGTTCAAGTGAAAACCGATAATAATATTTTACATACATTTTATACAAATCAGAATGTTATGCGGCCGAACGGAGTTTAAGGGTTTACAAAATATTCAATGATTCTTTTAGCTATTAGAAGCCAATGAATTTTGGAGCCATTGAAATAGCTACCTGTATATTGGCGATGTGATCCTCTCGGCAATGTTGTTTGCTATCTGATGATAGACATCAGAGCTCGGAGGTGTATACACACTCACCACCGACTCTTCTGGAAGTCCACGGGAAGAAGAGTATTGGACCTACATAGATTTGAAATTAGATTTATAATTGTCATATTTAAGATCTAAGATCGTATTACAATTCTGTAGATGTACTTGATAATTTTATAATTCAAAAACAACTTGTACATAAAAAATATTATATGAATTATTTTAATGTTTTACTATAGTATTCAAAGAATTTTTATTTCTCCCTCTCCTGCCAGTTTGAATACCATAATATATTCAATGATAATGAATACAAAACCGCTTTCTTTTCATACGTTCTAACTTAAACATTTTTCATCATTTAACTGCCTTTACTATTACCATTCAAGATTGTACATGTTGATAGATGAACAATATCAGTGCTCTCAATCTTAAGGTTACAAGACTCAACACATTAAACCTCTAACTTTCTTTCCGAGCCATCACAGTGGCTTCTCTTTTTTGCGAAAGGAGTCAAGAATGGGACCTAAAGCGCTTTACAAGATTCATACCTCCCACAAAGTTCCTGTATTGTTATTAGCCTATCTTGCTTTTTACCAATGAATAAATTAAATATATAACTATCCAGAAAACAAGATATACAATTTCTTCAATCAAAATAGACAGATTTTCTCTCTTGTATTCATTATGTTTGTTATCACGCACATATGATGTTATGAAAACAGTAAGAAAAGATAAAATTTATCCTCATATTAATCTGCTCTCTGCCAGACTTATCACGTTTCAATTGGCAGTCATTCTAATTAATTATTATTGTATTTTCTCATTATTATTATAATTGTAGATAAGCAACAAACTGATATTATCTATTTATTTAAAAATTCTATCATTTCATTCTAGGCTACCGAATCCGAGGAAAAATTATTTAAAAGATAGATGGATGTCGCTTCCAATTGAATTCCTGCATTGAAAAGGTAGGCGACCAACTCGAGCTATTTCATTTTTAATTTTATTGAAAATACCAGCATCCATGAATTAAAAACTCGATCAGAATTACTCAGAATTTCTTTCGGATTTATAAATATCGCTATCAGAGTCGATATTCTTAAAATATTTAACGTCGAATACATCAAAAATATTTCAATTTTATCGTTTCACTGCATTTGTGACGTACATTCTCTGTATTTGAAAAGTAATGTGTGAGATATATTCAATGTAAAAGATATGTGTATGAAAATGTTACTGAAACTTTAACATACATAGATATTATTCTATTAAAATATCTTTTTCATATAATTATTGTTTTGTATTGTACTCTCATATAAAGATATATTTGGTTTCCGACCTTCATAACATTTTCAATTTTCGTAGATATATTAGGCAACATAAGCAGATACATACACACACACATACATATACATACTTATGTATAAACATCCGAACCTTAACACTTACAATATTTGCTTTTAAAGATTCTCTAATCTCAAGACCTTGACAAGTTTAAAAAGCAATTGCTCTTTAAAATATAATATTAAGATCATGAATAACAACTCGTGCAATATGTCTGTAGTTGTTTATTTACTTGAGTAAACATAATATTTCAAAGTATTTCACGCAAACGTTTCAAGTGAATCTTCAAGTTGATGGAAATATATTAAAATTTGAAGCCAGCTGAGTGCAGGTAATGAGAGAAAATTAATATTCCCGTCTGAAAACGTATCAGCAGACGTGACGATTTGATCCTTGACGCCAATGCCAGCATCGCGTATGCGGACCACGTAGTTTTGATACTAACAATGACACATTTGTAGTTTATTGCACTACTATTGTTATTATTAAGTTTGATTGTTTGTTTCTTTAAAATTTGTATATCATAAGATTAATTTCTTAGTATTTATCTATAGAAACTTATTTAAGTACTAGACTTAAAGATAATTTTATTAAGGTTACTAGAATTACCCATCAGATGCTTAAGGATTTTTCTCACTTGCATTATTTAGTTACTCTATCTTTAAACAAATATTTTTCACGCAAAACGAGTTTCAACTTTGCTTTTAAAAGCGTAATTTTTAAATTCAACTGGAAACATTGAGAAGATAAAGAATTTGTAACTGTAATTATTTCGTTTAAAACCCGCCATTTTGTTTATGAAAATTGGATCAGACTCCACTTCAACTTTAATCATAAAAGCAGTGACACTAACGACACTAAACCAAATCTAATGTTGACCAATTTACTAAAATCGGTCTACCCTTTTTAGAAATATGATCAAATATTAAAACACAATCATTCTATATATCTATATAATGTATTGATACATCTAAACACAACCCAATTTTTTTTTTCGTGACTCTAAGATAAAGTCATTGTTATTACGAGATTTTTTCAATGAATCCTTCGTAAGGATCATCAAGTATTTTAATGATTTTGCTTCTTCAAATTCTTCATATAAAATGCAATACTTAATATTATAACTAATTAGATGATCGCTTAAATTAAGAGACCCTTTTTATTTGACTTGTAATTGAGTTTGAGACGAAGGAATAAGAAGAGAAGTTCGATCCTTGTTTTATAACTTGAAATTAATTAATGTCATTGTCTTCATATATTTATTTTATTCCGATAATCGTTTCTTTATCGTTAATATGCTAATATGTATAATATTTTGTTCCCACGCAATAACAGTTTAGAAATTCGAGTTTAATTTATATTTTCTATTAAATATTTAATTCAAAACATGATTACAATTAAATAAAAAAACTACAGTATACTAGATATTTTGAACGGGTCGGAAGAAATTAAAAAAAAACATGTTAAACCAGTTACATAATCAAACTTTAATCAAGAACCGTTAGCAATGAAAAACTTGAAACAACGTTAAATGATAAATCTATCTGTAGTGTTCAACACGAATTATTAATTACCAAAATTATTTTGTTACTATCTATAGTAGCTATTTATATATTTGTCCTTATTAAAAATTCACATATTAAAAACGACACGTCTTGCTATACGTGTCGAATATTATTTCTAAAATGAATTTTTTTATTAGATGTAATATGTAATTCTATGAATATAATTTTAATTATATTCATATAAATTCAAATTATTTCGCATTGTTTTATATTTATATTTTAATTTCACTCGCTATCATCGAAGTATATTAATAACTTGCAATGCAAAACCTTAAATATTAAAATCCTATGAATTAATCGATATAATTTTATATATTACTGAAATTCTAGGCACAAAAAGCCAGTAATAATAATACTTACATTGTACACATATGACCTTTTTATTCGCGGATTGAAAAAAAAAAACAATTTATGGTTAATTTTCCATGAAAACAGAGCTTATAGAATACAAATTAAAGTTTGTTCAAATATTTATGTTACTATTGATTCCTCCTATTTCTATCACACTGACCTCGCTTTGTCTGAACTATATCAATTTATTATTTATTCTATAACCGACTTATATTAAAGTAAGAACATAATTAATTAGTCTTCTATATATACATACATATATTATTAAATGCATTGAATATACATCAGCGATTTAAAAATATTTTTATTCCAAAAAAATTATTCACGAGTATACTTTTTCTATTTAAAATTTAAATAGGAACAATATATTCAATTATTTTTTTATTAGTTATTAAATAAAATGTAATTTACAATAGAAACTATACTTACCAGAAGCCCGAAAAATATAATAGCTGAGGTCTTCATAATTTAAACAATCGTCTAATATATTTAAACTTCTTACTGCGTTTGAATCTCCACAGACGATACAGGCGAGTTGCGCGAGCGCACATCGATGACGCTATGACCGTTCAGGATAATTGTTCTACCGACATGAAGGACGGAGCGTGCGATGTATATTCTGAGTATTAATGTAACACTAGAAAATACTTTGGACCACCCAAATATTGATATATCATGAGGAAAGTCAACCTCTATTTGTTTTTATATTCTTTGATTTAAAAGAACCTTTAGAAGATATATATTTAAAAATTTGGCACAAGCAATGTATGTATTTTTCTAGATAGATCTTCAGATGAAAGCTTAAAATCTCTGTCGCATCAATATTTTTTATAAATTCTGTTCATATATGACTCTATAAATATATTTCAGTGACTCTATACGATATTTTTATTGACAATAAAAAATGTATAATTTATCACTCAATTTTAATATAATATATAAAACTTACCTAGGTAAATTTAAGTTAAAATTTTACCATAATTTATTATGAAGTTTATGAAAGATTCCTTGAAAATATTTATGCTACCAACAACAACACGGTATCTTGCGCTTAAATCTGAGCTTTACTGTACGTGCAGTCTAAGAAAATAATCAGAACACGCTAAGCTTACCTAGCAGTTTATAACGCTTAAGCTGTTATAATCTTTAAAAATTGCAGACTAGTAATAATGTGCAAGCAATTTATTTTTTTAATGGTGCTGACACAAACACTGTTTATCTTAAAAAAATTAGGTTCACGTAATAATTATTACTTTCAGGCTAAAACTTAGATATATAACCAATTCCAATACAATAGAAATATTTTTATGACCGAATCAGAAAAATAAGTCTCCGAAAATATAGACGAACGAAGGCGTTCGTTAATAAAATATAGTGCCACGACTTCCGTAGTAAGGTTGTAGACCTTTAAAGTGCCTACCATAAAAGTCTGAGCAATATACATGTTTTATAATATCACATTTACCTTAGTTGCTAGAACTACTATTATGCTTTTTAACATCTTTATATTTTTTGATGAGGTTGAATAAATGATGATTGCAAAAAAAATATATGAAAATGCTTGGCCACAAAGACAAAGATATAGCAAAGATGAGAAAGTAATTTAACCTCGAGGAATAGCAATTACAGTTGGCGAGATTCATCTATTTCTTAAATCTGAATAGAAATTTAAAAATTGGAAGAAAATTAAGTTTCTTTGTAACGCTTTTAATGTGGATTCAAAGGTTTTAACCCATAGACTACGTTAAACACTGTTTTAGTCACTCTGTAGCAGATTAACAGAAGCATATAAGGAATATAAGTTACAAAATAGTTTAATGGCGAAGAAAAAATATATTTTGCTTTTCATTTAGTACTAACTTATACTACTTTTATGTACTACAGGCCCCAATGTGAGTCACGTCTTCCTTCCGACGTCGTGAACTATAAACAAAGTTATATTGTTTAAGCTGACAAAAAAAAGGTGTAGATATATCATTACATACGAACATAAAAGAGTTCAAAGAATATAAAAATGTATTCAACGTTCGTTCATAAATATTCAGAAAAGGAATAAATATAATAAATTGTACATAAAAAATACTTTTAATTGTTATCAACTATAACTGAGCAACTTTTTAAGTTTAATTACTTTTAATAATTTGTTATTAGGATCCAGTTATAAGCATGTATAATAAATAAAAATAAGAAATCTGAAAAGTTTTATTTAGAAAAGCCAACCCCATATGTGTAAACATATCATTTTCATTGTTCATTGGTCTGAGTATTTAGGATGTCAATTTATTGATTGTCATTTATTTCACTTGTTTTGAATTTTATTTTTTGAGATTACATACTACCTATCTATTTATAATTTCTGCACTAGATACAATGTATTGCAATAAATAGTTAGTCATGTTTGAGCGACATCTATACTTTATAATAAAACAATGAACTCCTCTATATTAGAATGATTATAATTGATTTAGCTTTTCGCTGCTAGATGCCGTTTATCACCGATTGAAATCATTCTAAAAAAGATAATTTTGTGATATTTAATTATTTAAATTTATTAAAACTATTATTTTTTCTTATAAAAAGAAACTATACAAACTCTTTAACTAAGTAAAAATGTTCCATTGAAATAAAATTTTCGGTTGGTTTTAAGACGTTTATTACTATCTCCATAGCAACAGACTCTATTTACGTTATACACGGTTTGTATTAAATGGTCCTTAAAGTTTAATTTTATTTTGTGGAGTGATCACTGCAAGAGCTTGAAAGTTGTAAATTTATCTAAAAAAAAATTAAATGTCCAAACCAAGTGCGAGAAATTCCAAAGTTTGTTGTGATCGTTACAGAAAACATTTCAATGGCCTCAACAGCTGTGATAGAAGTTTTAAAAAAGTTAAAAGAGTTGTTATTTCTAAGAAAAATATTTGCGGTTCACTAAGAGAAGATGAAACTTGTTCTATGGGTTCCTTATGTCACCACAATGAAAATAAAGTACACAAAAATACGACTAAGTCTGACATGGCGTTTATTGAAAGATACTCATGTAAAAAGATAGTAGATTGTTGTAAAAAATGTGGTGACACGATCTCTGATGCCAACATTGCAAATAATGAAAACAAAGTCAACAAACAGGATTATGGACAAAACTCAAAAATAGTAAAAGAAGGAATGAAGACTTCAACATATAAAAATATTAAGGACAAGAACCACATTTACCAATTCTATAAAAATGAACAATTTCATGAGTCCTCCGACTCCTTTTATCCTGCTGAGCAAACTAAATGTTCATCTTTAAAACCAATTATTGAACATTCCGAGAAGAGTTGCAGTGCACATACTGTTTTTAAGATTTCTTCTAATGATTGTGAGAGCGAAGTTGATTTTATAGACCCAGATAATATTGATAATATACAAAAATTAAAACAATTTAGAAATAACAACTATTTTGAATGTCACTCTGCTAAATCAAGAATAAGCTCCAAAGACAATGGTGGAGTTCTTAATCATAAATGCATATATAGATTTTATTTGAATGATAGATTATTCCCCGTACCTGTATACAGCGACCATCATGACAATGTACGTTGTATGGAATGTCAGTTGCCATTAAAAATAAAAGATGAACAAAATTCTGTTAATGGCACCATACAAGCTAAAGTGAAATTAAACAATGAAGTTCAAGACATGATGCTTATGTTACCTGTGAAAAATTCTTTAATAATACAAGAGAGGAGAAAAGATGTAAAAAAAGAGGAAGACAGCCTCTGTTTCGGTATAATAAAACTAAATTTAAATGGAGACTCTATATTTAATAGGAATAAACCTGACAATTCTTTGGCCCTGAGATACCAGAAGGGTTATGAAGAACATTCTAGAAGAAAGGAATATAATTATCAAAGCCTTATGAATGATGATGTCATTATAATTTAGCTTGTAAAATTGTTATAACTTATTTTTCTATAAATACATACAGTGGGAACTCAATTACCACTATAACAACTTAAATAATTGTTTTATTTCATATGAAATCATAAAAAAAATTAATTATTGAGAAATAAATGGTCTGTAATCACGAGTTAATACAAGTTAATTTACTTAAAGGTATTATAGCAATTTTAAAAATTTACTTAATTGTTATATAGGATAAATTACTTTAATTATTTTCGCATTGCCTTTAATTTATATTGCGAAATATATATTTATAAAATAATTTCATCAAGAGGAAGTTACCAGATTAAGCATTGAGACTTGAATGTCACAAACAAAGTGAATAATAATTTGGAAACATTCATTAATTATAATATTATTTATTTTTTAACACTTATATCCTCAATATAAACATTATAACAAAAAACAAATAAATATCTACCCTTACAATAGATTGTACTGCCAACATACTATAGGTAGGATCTTTAAAAAAATGGTACATGTACCTTATATATTAATGAATGATAACCAAAAATTATTATTCAAATTCTATTAGCCAATTTATAATATCTTATTTGAATATTATTTGCTTATATTAATAATCACATCTTCTGCTTCCTATTAAAATTTGAAACGACCATTGTCGAAACTGCCAACCATGTCTTAATCACAATAACATTTATATGACGAAATTGAAATATTTTAGATCAGGGATATCCGTCACGACTCACGTGTATGGAAAAATACTTAAGTGTATGAAACAACCCGCGCGGTCGGTTCTAAATCAAAAAATGCAATAGTTACAACATTATTTACATATATAACGCCTTTTAATTAAAACAGATGTCGCTTGAGCAGTGATTATGATTAAAAACAAATCATGTCTTTTCTCTTCTATTAACTTCTATAAAATTTTTAGGTTAAAAAATATGAATATAAAAAATATTAATTTTATTGTTATTTTAGAATTAAACTAGAACTAAATCTGTTGTCACCAGTAATTGTGACGACCCTGAACCGCCAGTTTTTAAAATGTATTCTGCTATTTATGAAATATGCAATAAGTATATATGTATGTTTATATTACAATGATAATATTTTATCATATATAGAGTTTCAAAATATTATATATTTATTTTTATCTTTCTGCTCAGATCGACATTGAAAATTAATCTTTACCCAAAACTTTCCTTTTGTTTTTCGAGATTTTCAAGTTCATTTCTATAAAAAAAAACTCCAACTTAAAATAATATTCTTCCTTTTTTTAACTGGGAAAAAAATTTGTGGTAGCCTAATTATTACTGTGTTTTATAATTATTGTATTGTCAAATACCATTTGATTTCAACACATTACCTGATTACAAAATATAAGACTTCACTTGCAATTGTAGAGACGGAAGGACAAATCACTATGGTAAAATAGGAAAAATACATATTTACAAATTTATTAACTATATTTTCAAATAAGTGTAAGGAATCACATTAAGAAAAAAAGTTTAAACCATGCAAAACATACAATACGTTCCTTCCTTGTCTCTCATATGACTTTCTACTGGAGTTGAAAAGAGATCCAGTCCTCCTATTTAATAAGTTGCATCCATGTCACATCAACACCTTAAAAACAAGTTTGCATAGCACGTCCATTCTGTAATGTAGCCGCGAAAAATAAATATATATATGAGCATTATTCCCGCGCGATAGCAGTACAAGAAAGACGCTGCGCGCGCACTGTCACTTAGTAATATTTATACAAAGTTCGTTTGCTCGACAGAAAGTATCGTTCCAAAAAGATTTTATATTGTGTAGAAAATGTTTTTATTTTTGGTACTAAGTCAGTTGACGTTAGCGGCCGCTGAGAATAAGTTGCGTAAGTATTTTCATTTTATGAGGTGAAGGTAGTTACAATTTTGTAACTAAGATATAAATCTTAACAGTGTTAAAATAACTTAACCAACTTTATGGTACATATGGCTTATTTGAAAAAACCGTAAAATTACCTAATTTATTTTAAACAGAAATGTTGTAATATGATTTATGAACTATGAATAAGACTCTACATGACTGAGAAATATCTAAATTATTTTTATTTCAAGTATATGAATAAATGTTGAAAACAATTTTAATATGTAGCATGTTAAATAATAATTTTAAAACTCTATACAACTTTATGTAGAGTTTGCGGCTTATAATTCGAGAAAGACAAACCGACAAAAGTTTATTCAGAGTTAAATATTTATAACTATGCCGTTTATATTTATTTATCGATTTTTATTGTATTACAAAGAATGTAGGCAAAAAAATATATCAAAAATAATGTTGTAAATAAAAAACATTACGCACTACAATACTATAAATTAATTTAAATCAAGGGTTATTTAACAATCAGGAAGACATTTGGCAGTCAATTCCAAAAACTTTACGAAACGAAAGAAAACTATTATGTACAGGAAGCTACGTGTAAAAAATATAAAAGAAAACAAAGGTTACGCATACAAATAAGACTGCATATATTTATCCATAACATTCATACAAGTAATATAAGATGCGGCAGTAAATTGATAATATTGTTTAATTACAAGGAAATAAGGCAGCGTAACCAGAGGTTGGCAACATTTATGTAATGTTAAGGAAACTTCGGTAATCATATCACGGTAATCATATGTAATATGATATCAATGAACAGGATTTTTTAAATAAAATAAATCAATATTTTTACTTTTACATACAATTTAATATATAATAGCACAGGAAATGTATTGTCAGGTATAAATAAATGTATTTATTTCCTGTACTTGTAAGGACGTATGTGGTAAAATGAATCTAGACTTGATTGTCATATTAAAACAAAATAAACGCATACATTATATTGCTGTAAAATAGTTTAATTCTCAAAATTTTTTTTGTTGTAATTTTAAAAGAGAACGTAACGCGAATTTAAAAATGAATCAGATATTTCAAAAAGACCTAAAGAAATGGACGCTAACCTAATTTATATATGAATCAAAATATTAATCTATTTCTTTTCAATTCCATTGTTGTTATTTATTTAATTGTTCATATCCTTCCAGAAACATGACTAGCTCTATATATATACATATATCTTTTATTAACATATAATAATCGTGGAATAACATACAAATATGTTGATAATGCATAATATGTATGCGTATTAAGATTCAATCATAGCACTTAAGAGAATATTCTAGTTTATAATTTGTTTCAAGGAAGCTCATAACAATTACTTAGCATTCGATATGATTAAGTGACTTATTTTCTAGTTACAGTAGTTTGGAACATAAGATCGAAATCCTTTATTCCATCCAGAAAGTCATATGTGACCAAAATACGGGAAGTATTTTTTTTTATTTCACGGAAGTTCCGCAAAATAAATAAATAATTTTTAAATTAAACAATCAAACATTACATTGATATAAAGATTGCTTTTTTATTATTGAAGTTTAATTCTTTATATCTTTTTTAATTTAAAATTATTCAACAGTTTAAAATCATTGATTTTATAGATGAATTTTAGTATGTGCATATGAATTAACCCACTACGAGCAAAAGCATAGCTTCTTTCAATAGAGACTGGTGCCTTTACTATAAGTTTGATACGATAATGTAAAATTTTATATAATAAAACGACATCGTAGGTGATGTGATCTTGAAAATTTGTGGTAAAATATATAGCTTTGTCACCAGTTCAAAGTGAAGTTAATTCTTCTATCTAATTTATAAAAATAAAATCTGCAAATCTTTTAAAAATTAATATTAAAACTAAGTGTTAGTTTCATTACGCGAACTTGTATAAGGATACCGCTACAACAACATAAACAGTTATTTTTCCTAAGTTAATTTTAGCTAGAACTTGTGTGACTTAAACAATCACGTTAAGGCTATATCTGAGTCCCTACGCCCTGAATATAAATTGTGTTTATTGTATTGTGTTTACATATGTATGTATTGTTCATTATCGTGCCTTAAACGAACGACCTTCAGAGGCTTTGAACCCTATTTAAACCTTAGACTTATTGTCATACTTGAATTATTATACCCGGAATAAATATACATAGTTTTATTTAGTTCTACCGAGCTATTGTGTGAATGATCTCTTTACACAGATTAAATTTTTAATAATTACTCACTAATATTTCATATATATACAACAGTGTTTTAGAACAAAATATCATACAATTACTCAGTATTCGACGTCTATATTTATTAAAGTGCATTTATTTTTTATTTTCATTTCTTACGTTGTTTTTATTACTACGGAATGTTGATTCGGCTGAGATGATTCCATCGAGATTATTGCTGCATTATATCAAATATTGCTTTCCACCTTGAGAGTTGAAAGTCTAACCACGTGGCAACGCTATCTTTCGAAAGTCTGTCATCACAATGTATGACCTTTCCGTCCATTCAAATTAGTTCTTATTGTATCGCAATAAGAACGATATTGCAATTCGATGCAATTCTTAATGTATAAATGATAACAATGTTATTTATTTAGTTTTGTAAGTCTGTTTCGATATGTTTTAGTAAAATGTCTTTTATTTTGAAATAACTAAATAAGTTACAACTGGACGACTGATCCCGCTTCGTAGGCAGTTTCTTAATGATTAATAACACGTATGACTTTTTGTCTACAATAGATAATCACACTTTTTTTGATCATCCGTGCTATGAATTTAAATAAGTTATACTTGCCAGTATATATTATGCTTTACTCTCATTTTTAAGACGCCCCTGGCTACTTTATTTAAGCTATCTATCCCCTGTACAACATTCACTATGAATTTTAGTTTATTATTATTTGAATATAACTGTATAGACACTCGTAGAGTTATATTGTAAATACTAAGTGAATAATCAATTAATTAATCGTTTTGTAGTTGAATGCTTCTTAAGCGGACATTTAAAAGAGTATCGACTTCAATTTCTTATTAACTTACCTATTTCATCTTGAAACGAGTGATATTTCGGCAGCAATGTTACTTTAATAAATATGCTTCGGTTACGAAAATCAAAATGGGGAAAATCGAAAATCAAAATTATAGGAAGGGCCTGTGTCCCAATCTAACATGTTTTATTTTCTAATATTATTGAAATTTTACAGTGAATCGCTGTGAGTAATTTTTGGGATGGTATGAAATAGACTTTCGATTTTAATCAAATCTCCATGTATTACATTAAATGAACAAAAATTCATTTGTGGTTTTTTTGGCTTTAAGATCAAGCCTATTGAGATCAAGTGTTGCAAATTTTGCGAGATAATAGGTTTTGGGTTTAGGCTTCAGTACTTTGAGTATTGACGACTTTCTGTGACGGGATTAACATTGGAAAAGATAATCAAGTGTAAGATATTGCTGGTGATTGTTTTCTTTGAACTGGTTGAATTTTACGCTTATAAGCTTTTTAATTTTACGGTTCCGTATAAAATTTTGTTTCGGTCAAAGAGTCAAGAAACCTGTGAAATTTGATGGGTTGAGAATCCGACTTTAACACTTAGGTGTTAAGATCACTCATTATAATAAAATTATTGTAGGATCAATGTTCTCCAGAGTTTATCCTACATCCAAAAAGACAGATCAACAACAGCAAGAGCAAAATTTATACCAAAATTATCCCCTAAAATGAAATAATTGAGAAAACTACATTTGGTAGAAGATGTCTGTGGACCTGTCCACCAAGTGATTCTTTTATTAGTCTATCACTTAAGCCTCTCGTTTTTCGAGATGTTTTTCTTTTTTAATGATATACGAAATGGAAGTTAATAGATGTTAACCGTAACTGTAAATATTACTTATTGAGTACTTTATTATGTTCAATATATGTACAGAATAAAAAAATAGCTTCGTCTAAATTATACTTCTTACAAATGATTCCATAAGCTAAATATGTATATAAGTTGTATTTATATGTTTGTCTTTTGAACACATGGATTAAAAGCATTTTGACTGTCATAAATTGTAAAATATTAGTAAAATCCTATGGATTTATATATTTATTATATGTAATATGTCTTTTCTCTCCAGATTAACTTAAAAAAACAAACAAAGGTTGTGAAAATAGTGACCTGAAGTGACTCTGTCCCCGAAGATAAAAAGAAGATACTTATCTATCTTTTGATCTTTTCAAATCACCATGCGAAATGCGACTGCGAATCGAAAGATCCAATAAAAAATGCAACAATGAAGCTTATGCGAATATTTAATTAATTAATTATTATTTTATATATACAATATATCACATGTAATTTAATTATGTTAAGAATTTTCGGTAATTTAATAGTGTTTAGAACGTCGTCATGCCCAGGCGAATTCTATTGCACAATTCACTTTCCATTTTACGCGCTATCACTCTCATGTTGGTGTATTTTGCGGTTACATCTGAGAAAGGCTCGTTATTTATAATCTTGTGTGACTTGATGTATGTAACTTTATATTAAATATATTAACACTCATAAGAACTGTTTTCGTATTGAATACCTTAATATTATTATGTTTGTGTTATGTATTAAGCACTTATACCTGTTTATATAAAGTTTTTAACTCTCGGTAAACAATTCTTATAAACATTCTTATACTATTTTTTTAATTTCACTGTTTTTAAATAAGCAATGTGACAGACGCAAACCCATAAAAACTAAGTAGGTAATTTTCATGGGCACTGCTTTTACTGACATATAATAAATTATTTAAATTGAAAAGATATACATTCAGAAAGGAAGGCATAAGTATAAAGTAAGATTTTTTGTGTTAATAGGGTAAAAATAAATTATTTCTCTTTCAAATCAGCCTTCTATTGTCGCAGACAACATTTCTGTTACTAGAAAAAGGGCTTGGTGTAAAAGAAAACTGTTAAGTCAACCAATTACAACTAGATAATTTTAGTAAAATTTAAATAGTTTTCAAAGTTAGAAACGCAGAAAGGACATTTAAGACACGCTATTCATACATTTCCAACGGTTGAACCTTTCGAAACAAAAACAACTAAGTAAACAACATCTCTATACATTCACGGTGAAACAAGTAATTTATTAACAAATCATGTTAACATTCGTCCTTTAAGCTATGGTCATGTCCAAGTAATTTACGGTCTCTTGTGGTCAGGCAATTAACCTTTGGCACGACAGCAAACAAAGGCTTTGTATTGAATCAATGGGACAACCTTGACTTCTGAACGACGAAAACATGATTGGATTTAAACATTTTACTTACCACTTTCACTCGTAAGCTACAGAGAATAGAAATATATTCTATTTAAACCAAAAACAACAATAGTTTTTTCAATAGTATTGATACAATAAGTAATAAAAATCTTAACTTAATTGCCAACAAAAATTTTTTCGTCAGATCTTAATTAATATTTTCTAAGCGAAATCTTTATTGGAACCGTCAAAAGTTAACGAAACAGCATTATTTAATCTGTTCTCTTATTTGGATCTCGCGACCTTGACAGGTTGAGGAGGTCAAGTGGCTATTTAGAAACGTGCAATAAATAGAAAAGTGGACATTTCGTTATATTTGTAAGAGTTTGAAGTAATAGTATAAACACATAAATATTTTGCAGATATAGGATAGTTATATGCGTATGACAGCCGCCAGAGGTTCCAGGAAAACTATTAAACTTTCTTACATGTGTATTATAATTAGAATTACATAATTAGAACTTTAAAGCTATATCTACGACGACATGATTGCTCCGATGTTAGGATGCGATGCCATTCCATTGCTTGTGCTGTACCATCAAAATTTTGCTTAACGGGGGCAGGTTTGCTTTCCGCGGATTCAGCAACATTACTCGTTATATTATTTTTTATCGCTACAACGATGTTGCCCTGGCTGTGTTCACTTAATTTGTTGCGTGAACGTATCAAGATACTTAGTGTATAAGAACTATGTATAATGTGCAGATATTTATAGGCCTTATTGAAGATATGTAGGTATATCTTCATTCTCATTAACCTGTGATAGGCTCTTTATGAATCATAACAAAACATTAACCTCTCTATGGATCGCAATCGGTCAATCGAAGACGGTTTCACCATATGCAATCAAACGGCGAATTACGGAACCTATGAGTTAGTCAACAACCACTCCGTAAAGCCATCAGTTTAGCCTTCTAATGTTTGTTGGTGGTTAAATAGTTTTAGTTAGTGATAAGTAGCTTGAACTCAATTTTTTTATAAAAGAAATGATAGATATTAATTAACACTGAACTTATGTAGTCACTTAATTCTATGTACGTTTAGAAATGACAAGCATTACTTATTCTCGTATATTTTCTTTCGTCTGACCATTCTACAGAATAAAAAACTTCCTATATTAAAAAAAATAGTAAATTTTCTTAGAAATATTAACATAATTTTTTTAATTCTTCACTATTAATACCTACTCAAACGGCGTTGAGCGCATTTATAGGTTATACGGTTACCTGATTTGAAATCAAAATCTTTAATTAAACTAAATAAAAAGTCGTTTTACTGACTTGACTTTAAAAAATTCCGTGTTAATTTAAAGCTTATTTTAATTTGCATTATAAACTTATCGGTAATAGTTTGAGGTTTCATACAAAACGTATCGGCTAAGTAAACGATGATGTATGAAAGTGTCGGTTTTTGCTTTAATGATTGACAGAACTTGTCTTACTACTTACTACGCACACAGTCGGATATGTATTGTAAAACTGCCGAGAATATCATTTGCTTATGACAAACTGTAGTAATATGCAAGAAGCTGAAGGACGAATGGCGCAAGTCTTAGACGTCGCAAATAACCTCCCAACGCGGAAGATTGCTCACTTACTATTGTTACATTAGTTCATTGGAACAGACTTGTTTGCTTCATTAATGATATCCAACTTAATTGATTTTCTAACGCCTATGTTATATGTTCTGAAGGAATAGCAAATATAACAAGATACGACAATTTTAATCAATGAATTTTCATCAATGAAATACTACCTGTATGTACATAGAAGAAAAATATTTCAATAGTTTATTGCAATAAATTAATTATTATTTTTGTTATAGCAATAAAACACTTGAACTTTTCGTTTACAGTTTCTATATGTCTAGTAATAAATAAACATATATGAATTTACAACAATATCAATTTTGAATATATTTGAGTAATCATTAATAACAGTAGTTTTATTTGATTCCAGCTGAAAACTTCATAAAATGTAAAAGGAATGACGGGACGCTCAACGACTGTCTCAAAGGCGCGGTTCCAGACGCCCTAAGAAAGATGGTTGAAGGTGGGTTTCTAAAACACTGTAGATAAAACTTTTAAAATGAATCGTTTCGGCTTATACTTTTGGGATACTTTACTTAATTTAAATTTAATTGTTAATTTAATTCAGTTGAAAATCAATTTGTAAACAATATTTTTGGTCTTGTAATTTAAAATAAAATGTAAATTATTTAATTTTATGAAATGAGACGACTTTAACAGGAAATATCTCCGATATGGATGTTTTGCTTTCTGCAGAACTTCCAATAAAATACTTTTTATTTTTAGAGAAAAACAGTAAAGACTGAATTTTTATTTACGAAAACATAAATGTAGTTGTTCTACCCAATATATGAGATAAGTATTCATGCCTGTAAGCACTGATAGCCCTAAGAACTCTTAAAGCCGGAACAAATAAGAGTGTATACTGATTTAATTACATTTTTTTAAATCTGGTCTTTTATACATATTTGAATCAAGAGTCCATCTTAGTCGGATAATGAAGAAAATATCACTATGTACAAAAAGCAGCTTCATGTTATACAATTTCCTTGTTATCCTTACAATTTAAAGCGACATTAAGCATAAATTATTTATTTTTCTTTAAAAGGACACCCACGGAAATATCTTGAACATATAAAATCCTTAACGTGTAAGAATACCTATAAATAACGGAGGAGACTATAATTAATTAACGATGCGTCTGTCTGTTTATCTTCCATTTTATATTAATGTTCACCTTTTTTTTACTTGACATGTTTTTTATAAACCTGGTTCTGTCTTCTATAATATTCTTATAAATTAATGAGCATTTTAAATGGAAATTTCCATTTGTGAAATAATGACCATTGATGTCACAGCTTGTTAAGAAGATTAATCCTTAAAATGAAGTCTTTTTGATTTAATAATAAAAAGATATTAATTTCTGATTAATTGACGAAAATACATATTACAATATTTACCCGGAAATATGTCACTTTGGTTGTCTTTATGGAATACTTAATTTATTTCGTGGTAGAGAAAGAAGCTTGGACGTTTGAGGTGTGTGTTTAACTCGTGTTAGATAGGGGCCCCTTAAATCTACACCTAGGTCGCAAGTCTCAAGCACTGTAGAAACTTCCATCCCTTCAACGCCATGGATGGTGAATACTAATCATGCTGAGATGTTTCTTTTTATATGTTCTCAAGTATATTGTCTTCCCCAGGTATCCCAGCTCTCTCAGTTCCACCCTTGGAGCCCCTCTTTGTGTCTGGTATGAACATCGAATCAGGAGCCGGGCCCGTCACCATCACTCAAAATTACCGCAACATCAAACTACACGGACTCACTGACTCCATACTTACCACTTATAAGTTAGTATAAATTTCGCAAATTACAAATAAAATTCAATGCTTTATGAAAGTTACGCCTGTTTCATGTTTAATTACAGTAATTAATATACATGTGAAATATAATATTCAAGTCTTTATTGACCACTTAGTCCATCTTAGCACTAGTTTTTTAATAGAAAGTTAATCCACAGGACTTTTAAATGGATAGATTAATATTTTATATGATACTAGAAGACCCGGCGAACTTCGTATCTCCTCATAATCAAGAAATATCTGTTACTTTTTTTATTTATATTTTTGGAGTTTACTTATTAAAATTTACTTATTAACCTCCGTGTTTTGTAGTGCTACAGAATGATTGACATATTAGTTAGTTGTCAACTCTAATGTCAAAAAAAAAAACGTTTGTATCAACAACTACTAATAAATTAAAAAATAATTAAAAAAACATTATCCAGCGGACAAATTGTGAATCTAAACAATTCCCAGATCCCCTTGAACACACACAAAAAATTTCATCAAAGTCGGTCCAGTCGTTTGAGAGAAGTTCAGTGACATACACACTCACAGAAGAAGTATATATATAAAGATATGTGAAGTTTGGTTCTCCGTTTAGCAATGAATCGATTTTAATATGACCTTATCAATTCTTAGAGCTGATCTCAAACATCACCGCTTACGCACCGACTCTCTGACGCCTAAAATGGAGTTTATAGCGGACTATGTGATGAAAGGCAGAATACTTGTTTTGCCCATACAAGGAAAAGGAGTCGCGAATATTACTATGGGTTAGTAATAGCGCCATCTACTGGATGTTTCATACAGTGATATTGTTAAACGAACAACAGCGCCCTCTATTGTCAAGTAGTGAAGTAGATATAATCTGAAATATTGAACTAGGACAACAGAGGGTGCTACTTTTTTAGAAACGTTATTTCTTAATTATTTTATCTTGAAATGTCTGGCTCTATAAATTAAATTTAAAAATCATAATTTTGCTATTGTAAATTTTAATTCTCATCCGTATTTGTCTTTCATTTAATGAAAACGTTCATTTAACTTTGCTTCGTAGTAAATCTCGTTGTAAAGCACGATCTGATCGGCGAGCCAGTTGTCAAGGACGGGGAGACCTTCATGCACATCAAGGACTACAGAATTAAGTTCATCCCAGAGAAGGTAAACCTTCACTTCTCCAACCTCTTCAACGGTGACAAGAGACTAGGAGACCAGATGAACATGTAAGTTGGATATTTAATACTGTAATGTACTTATGGTAAGTATAATATCGTAATCACTGATGAAGAACAGATAAGTTATTAATTATTGCCAGTGACATCATCTGCGGGCCTTTGTAGTTAGGCATAGAGAAACGTAACTATGTATTAAATCAATAGATAGCCAACTAACTTGCAGCGACATCTATAGTCTATCAAGTGATTCACTGCAAAATACAATGCTGTGATACTTTGATACAACGTCAAGTTACATTACTATAAAGTTTCATCAAAATCATCCAAAAACTATTTGAATGATTTTGATAACAGCAACAAAAGTATGTATGGATTTACATATAATGTACTTACATACAAATATCCTCACACACTTTCCATTTCAAAATATAGCAATGGGAATGTTTTTACTTTTTTATCAGTATGGTTTATACTAGAAGGCTTTTTTACCTACTAAACTCAAAAACCCTATTATTAAAATATTTTAGCACTCAATTGCGTGTATTTTCCAAAATAATACTGCTATAACAATTCTTCTAATAATAAAATGAGTGTTTTATTTTTTATGTATTTATGTTACCATTGTGATATTCACACCTTTGAAATTTTAGATTCCTCAACGAGAACTCTGATTTAGTCTTCAACGAATTAAAAGAATCGTATGAGAAAAGTCTCAGCTCCGTATTCCAAGACGTGACCAACAAAATCTTCGACAAAGTACCCATGAACAAAATCTTTATTGAAAATTAATTATCTGTGATCCCAGTAGTTATATGTAGGTTAAGAATAGAAATTGTAACAAAGGAGTAGCTGTATACGGTTATAAATACCGTATTTAGATTATATGGATACCGCTTTAATTATTATTAATTATACTACACAATAAAATATCTTTAAAAAATATATCGTCGTTTGATTTTAATTTCGCAAAAAAACCTCATTTATACCACTTTCAGTTACACTATGGTAGGAAATTTAAATAATGTAAGCGTTTTCGTGTTTTTTGTAATTAAAGCTCTTTTTTGTTGGTGATCTCTCGTTCATTTCGATATCTGGAACCTTTTGTGAATCTAAAGCTTGTCTAGCGTTATTTAAACAGACGGATTTGCAGAACGCTTCGTTTATTATGACCACTGAAACGACAAAAAGTTTGAATCATTATCACAAATGCTGTCCAACACATATGATATTTTCTAGAAAGCAGATAGAATATAAAAATACAATATAAATAACAAACTTACATATACCAACGAGGAGTAAATATATAATCATTCCCAATAACACTCCATCCCACTCCATTTTTGATCTGGAAGAAAATCATTTTTAATATATTACGACAAAATTTCTTCATACAATACTTACACTAGCAAATCTTTGAGAACAAGTTATAATGAGAAATGTTTTAAGAAATATTACGCCTCATTGCTTTTTTTAAGCTACGGCTTCATTTGCACTGGAATTGTAGAATATTTTGGCAATGTCAACGTTTTTATTTGTTAATTATAATCTTCAGTGCTGTGGAAGTTATTATATTTACTAACCTTTACAAGTATTTCAATTCGTATATTTTGAATGAATTCCGTTACACACAAATACAGTTAATAAAAGGATAAGCAAGAACTATCTTCCAGAAACCCGCTTCAGATGACTCGGAGGTCATTTTACACAGGTTCTAGATATGTATATTATTTTGTTTAATTTTCAGACATGTTGAGTTATTGATTCAGTACTATTATTTGACGTTGTCAGTTTTTCTTCTCTGATACTAAATTTCTTTTTAATATCAATACTTGCAAAAATAATATTATAATTAAATATTTATTTTTAAATGTAAATGATGTGATACCATTATAATTTTTAAGAAGATTTTTATTCGCTGTTTGAAATTGAAACTTTATATAATAAAGGTTCGTTCACACTACACTAAATACGACGAAAGGTTTTGCAGCTGTGTATGGAAGGAGCTTAAGGGTGTGAAATAAAAAAATATTACGTTTATTAATGTTATATTCAGTGAATAACAATCTATGGCATAGTCACTGGTAACGTACGGAGAAGAACTTAAGAACTACCTTAGCCTCATACTTAGCTAAGCATCGCGTTGATCTAATATTGTAGTCTCGTATTAACTAATAAAAGACTAAAATATTAGCAAAATCAAGCGAATAAGATGAATATTTTTAGATGTCAAAGGTGTTGAATAAATTAATTATAAAACGATTCGGTTCAATGAAGACGTGACTGTCCCTTGACCTAAAAATATTCATCGTACTTATTTAGCAAATATTACAAATGTAATTTTTTTTAATATTCGTTAAATATTCTATGCACGGACAGAGCTTTATAAAGTGCAGTGAAGTTCTAAGCATTTGCAAATAACAGCTTGGGTGTTTAAGAGATTTCCTCGTAGCGAAAATAATAAAATTTATGTTAAAAATATTATTGCATGAGACTATGATTTTTTTTGTCCATTCTGAGTCGCTTCGAACACCAATTTAATGTTTAATTAAATTATTTATTTATGATGCACGAAACAACTATTACTTGGACGGGTCTAATGTAATGTGAAAAATATAATTATATTCTACAGTACCAAAATATCGTTTTCTCTATATATAAAAATCCTTAATTATATTTGCCAGCTTGTTCTCCTCAATTTATAAGCTCCATCCAAAATAACTTACAGAAAATGAGATTACTGAATATAAAATCATTGCCAAAACTCCCAGCGCTATTGAATTTATTGCTCGTAATTTATTCGTACCGGGATTAAATAAAACTTAAATAACTTAATTAAATTAACTTGTCAAAATTAAAACTTAAGCTGATTAACTATTAATTATTATAGCTTTTTTTTATTATTTTTTGTTTATTGTTTCGTAAATTATAAAAAGTCTAACTAAATAACCAAGTAATAAGTAGCACCATCTCGCTTTCTTTGTTAACTTGTCCCATGACATTATTATCATAAAGTCATAATGATAAACTATTCTTGTCATTGTTAGTAAATCTACTCTAATTATAACCATATTATTTTTTATTTGAGTAATATTACCCTTAATGAATCTATTTGATAAAGATATGACAGAGATATATGTATCTGTAATATTATATATAAATATATCAATAAACGGAAATACTCAAGAGTAAATACCAAAAAAAAAATCAAAATTTCAGATACTAAGCGAAACTAAGCTCACTAACTCACTAACACTGATTCGACAGTTCAATTCAGTCTTTGACTCGTGGCTCGTCAAGGGAACTGCGAGGTAGAGGTTGACCGCCGGCAGCCCAGAGACACGGGAGCCGGTATCCTGGATGCACCGTTCCTCGGATCCTTCCTGGGTGCAGCTAATTGCCTAGTGCTTGTAGATCTCTCTAACTTTCCATCGGACATAACCCAAGCCGACGTAAAATCTGCGTAGTCAGAATCTTTTGAGCTCGTTCTTGATATCGAGTCCTCGCCTTTAGAATACGACCTAATTATTTCCTTCATCTTCTCCAAAACGGAGGCGTCATCTTTAGCTGATTCCGCAGATCTCAAGATCTGTTCGAGCAGGGGGCTTAAAGCTTTTTGGTGTGTGGGAGACCTTAAAGTCGCACTGCTCGCGCGAAGAGGCGAGTTCCTTTTGAAGGCCTCATTTTGTGGAGCTTTTGGTTTCGCTTTTGGAGATTTGTTGGGATTTTCGAATGTATCCGCTCCGACAGTTGGCCGAGTTTTGGCTTTGGCTTGATTTGGAGCTGTTCTTCCTCCCCATGTGTTCCGGCTGGTGGGTGGTAATTTTGGTGCCAATTTTGGTGATGATTGAGGATTAGCGATGTGCTTGGGACTGGGTGTGTTGCCTCTGCTTGGTGTTCTGTTCCTGACAGGGGAATGTGGTATCCTGCTAGCAGGTCTATTCCTGATTGCCTTCGCTGGTGACTGTGTTGATTCTCGTGTCGGTCTTAGGCTCTTACTCGGTGAGTCGTTATTCTCGTGTACTACAATACATTCAGGACTGGCTCTGTTTGATTTGTCTTCTGAGCTGTTCTTCCTGCTGCCGTAGAATGTGTCAGAGAAATCTGTCTTGCGCAGTCCAGTGTTGAGGCTGACGTAGTCATCAACTCGTTCGTTTTTATCTATTTGACAGCCGTCCTCGTCGAGACGCTCTGAAAGTAGAAAAAGAGTTTGTTATTTTAAACCATGCACCGATATCTTATAAAAATCTTTTGAGTCTTCTTGTATTTTCTAAAAATTACATCAGATATTAAATTATATTTCAAAAATAAATGTCCATATATTTTGAAAGACACACGTTACAATATAATCATCATAACCACATTGTTATTTATCTTTAGATAAATAACATCAACAAAGGCGTATATGAATAGAGAACAAGAATTGTGTAGTTATGGTAATATACAGAGTTCCGGGTCCGACATAACATAACCTATTGCCTTTTTTGTCGCCGTCTGATCTATAGTATCGTGTGCAAAGTGTTGACAATATACCTTCAAGGAATATGGTCATAATTCATACATACGTATTAAGTTTATACATATTTTTTGTCTACATTATCTGGCAGTGAGAGGAATGTTGTACATAACTCAAAGAATTTTTTCGCACGGGCTAGTTAACAACATATCTAACATAAAGTGACATTCGCACTAATCAACTCTATTTTTATCATTTGAAAGTTTAGACCCTTTTTGGTGTCGAGGTACGGCCGAGTTATGTCTTAAATGGAAACAAACTGCAACCCGTATTTATTGAAACGTTTTGCTTTTATTCTGTTCCAAATATAATTAGACGCCATCTGAACTATACTTAATGGTTTATTACAGTCGTTTACAAAGACTCCCGCTAAGAAATAAATTTATTTTAAAAGTTTCAAAAGGCATAGTTGCAATTGCTTTTCTTTGTAAAGAAATTTGCTTACAGTTATGCTTAAAGTTATTTAAAAAACGTATTAAATTGCTTTCCACAGATTTGAAAAAATGAATCTTGATAATAGTATGAGAAATAAAAGTAATTATTTAAATTTTTATTAGGCTTAAAAAGTAGCTTCATAAATTTTAATGATTGTCTGAGATTTTATGTATTTATTTAATTTAAATCAAAACGAGAAAACCAGTTGCAACCTTTAATTTCTACGAAAAACTATTTAATTTACAAAATAAATTCCCAATTCAAAGAAATTTGTTAACAAACGGAATAGCAGCCGCAGGCGACTGTTTCTTCTAATATTATGAATAAGCAGGACTTTCTGTGAAATGCGCTTTTAAAATAACTTCGTTTCTCCCCACAAGCTGTTTTCAAATACTCTCACGTCTGAACGAGTTAAACACTGAGCGGGTGCTTTTGATGATTTTGAACCCTAATAAAATAACAATAGGGATGACGTTTATAATATTGTCGTTACTAAAATGGTAGCCCATTGTTCTTATCAAGGACATAAGTATCGCTTTTGGTTGCCTTTCACTTGCTGATTGATTTTCTGTTTTAGAAACAAGTACACCATCTCAACATATGTATAGTATTTTCGATTACTAATAATTTTACTTGAATCATTTTATATCCTTTAAAATAGAACGAGATTTTAATCCAATCCGTATATAATTATGATTGATATATGTCATATACGTGTTCATTTATTCCTAATATGTCGTAATATCAAAGTGAAAACGAATTAATTATATTCCATTATTGTTGTGTGTTAATGAGCGTCCTCGATTGTACATTGTATAGACATTTGCCATCGAACTGTCAAATGATATGTCGACATATATGAATCCATATTAGATGACAATAAATTAATAACAAGAATTCCTATTGTGTTAGAGTTCTCATTGAGTAATTTTTCCTTTACGCTTCCTATATTAATACATACAAAACACAATAATAATATAATTATTCGTCTGCTAAGAATAGATTTTAGTAATTTCTGCGGGATTTTTAGATGTATTTTACAAATTATATTATTATGCAAGATACTTTTCAATAACAATATCTCGAGTTGCATTACAAAACTTATAGTTTTATTTGCCATTTTTTATCAGTATATTTTGAGATAAATTTTATTTAAACAATATCACGAATATTAACAGAGCTTTTTGACTGAAGCACATGCCAAAAGCTTTAACTAGATTAAAACTTTGCTAAGAACAATTTCTAAAACCAGCACTGAATGTAGATAAAACTAATTTAAATAATTGATATACCAAACATAAAATGACTATCACCTAAATTTGTTTTCAAAGGCAATTAAAATTTATAATTTATAGGGTTAAAGGTAAACAAATAAATTTAAAGAGAAAGTAAAAAGCTGTAGCTTACCACTAAAATCAGCGTCATCCATGGAATTCTGACTGTGCAGTGAGTATCGATTTGCCGTTTTGTTTGATGGTGACCCTTGAGTAGAGCCGGCGACCACTCCTAGGCTTCTGTAACCTTCGTCAGAGACTTCGGAGCCGTTGTCTGAAGCGCTTTCAGCTGCCGGAGCAGGAGACAGGGGGCGCGGACTTTTATTTCTCACACCATGTGGTGTAGGCACCAAATGGTTTGTGGTTACGATCTTAGTCCTGCGATCCGGAGAGGAAGAATGCCGGCCTGGGCTATTGTTTCTTTGGAGAATCTTTCTATTTGGAGAGGCAGCACGATCCATAGCTCCCAAATATGGTAAACTTGTAGGAGCGTCCAGTTTGCAGTTAGATTGGTAATGACCAGCTCTAGGATCATCATTGTATAACTTCGAAGAGTATTGGAGCGACATTGGCTCATAATTCTTGGTTTCTTTATAATCTTTACACGGTTGGGATGTTTGGCCAGGGTCTGAACGTTCGTATGTAACAGTAGCTCCAGCAAGATCCTGCTTGGGTCTAGCCAAGCGGGCTGAAAGGGATGTTCTATGCTGAGCGCGGCAGCGACAAGGGTCATGCTTGTCCAGATAGTGGGCCAGTGTATCCCAACCACCACCAACGCGAACCATGACATGGGAGCGCAAAATCTGTAACAATTAATGACATTTACATTTATTTCTATCGTGGATACCGACCATCATCGTACAAAATTTATACACGCTAGTATTTATTAAAAGATATTCACAGCTCTTAAATCATTTGATATTTCAGGTTATAAAGGCGCTATAGCCAGCACGTGGCTATTATATAATTGGTTCTGCCCATTTCAGTCGCATCTAAATCAGAGCGAGCCATTTGTAACGATGACTCATTCTGCAAAATCCATATTTGGTAAAATCGATATCGCTTTGACCTTTATTAACGCCCAGCGGAATTCGCGATGCCTCAGTTTTGCGTCTTGAGATTATTACTATTGGAGAATAACCTTAAACCGCTTAGTCATAGATCAATTGCGTTAAATTATAAACTGATTCCGAATAGGGTTTAACAAAATTTTTTAGACAATATCTTTGTATAGAATTTTTCAAAGTTTAAAATTACAATGGTACTTAAATTCTGTTGTTCATTCCATATTAGGGGTAAAAAGGTCCTGATCAAACGAGGTCAACAAACACAAAAAAAAAAAGGGTAATAAGGACGATATAATTTTAAATTGGACCGTCTATTATATAAAATCAGTTTTTTTCCAAGCGATTGTTATATGTCTTCATTGCTAGCTTAAATTAATAAGACAATAACTCATTATGTAATATAGAGCAAAACAAACAAATTCATATCATTTATATAAAGAAAATAGGGCCATATTACAATTAAAACGGTTGATGCCTATTACATGCAGTGTATAAATGGATGTCTTATTTACGTAATTAAATTAAATTGTATGAATCACACATCTTATTCTAGAATCTAGAATAACTAGTTAAATAAATAAAGCAATTCATCAATGTCACATTGTCTTCCTGTTAACCTTTACGTGTGCGAGCATAATGTTTGTAAACAGTACGTTTGATTAAAATAAAATACTCGTAAACAGTTTATTGCGAAAAAAAAATCATTTTGGTTCTCATTAAAAAATATCGCAACTGATAAATAAGAAATTCACTTACCCTGACGAAAATCAGAAGTCTAGTATCTCCAATTCTGTATTTTCCCTCGGAGACTCTCACCATAGGGAACTGAGTGGGGCAGGAGCACCTCTCAACCAAATCTCTTACTCTCTCGTCAAGACTCCTCAAGTCATTTGTCACCAGTTGCGGCTGAGGGCCGGAGGGTACAAGGCCTAGGGCTGAATCGTCTGGTCTTAATTCTTCACCAGCCAATTCTCTTTCGATTTGCTTCTCCATTTGTACGAGAAGAGGAGCTGGCATTCCAAGTACAGCTCCCTTTCTGGCTACTTCCAAAAGACATAGAACGACGTGCTTTTCGTTCTTACGAAGACATAGATCGTCGGTTTCGAATAAAAGGCACTCCAAGATACCAAGTGCTCTGCGACACCAGTCAATAAAGTTTGATAAATTATCTCTTGCAAAAAACGTTCCAGCTTTAGCAGCAGGGAGCATGTTGACTGGTGGTCTAGAACGCAGCGCCTTAGCTAGAGTCAAGGCATCATCAGATTCAGGAGCAGGTGCATCAAGGATAAGTCGAGCTGATTCGCGTACGGCGTTAGCATGCTGTAAAGAAAAGAAAAAAATATTTATCGTATTATAAACTTTATGAATTGTTTGGAATGGACGGCACTATACAATTAATACAAAATCAATAGTCTTTTGTATAAAATACAGCTGTCTATTATGCGTTATTAGAAGCACGACCCTGAGGTTGGTACAAGTGGAAAAATTGAAATCAATTCTCAAATTATGGCGCCACAAGGCCCGTTTACTGCCATATAGGACACTGGTAATGAATCACCAAATTTGGTATCACTTTAACGAAGTTTTTTTAGACCTTATTTCATATAACTTTCCAGTGTAGACCGCACCGTGTTATTTACTTCCGAATTTGGTGGTATATCGTGGTTTCGTCAACTAATAATATACTATTTCGATTAACTGTCTAAGAACATTTTAATTAAACATTGAGATTAATGGTCGGAGTCATGATTGAAGGAGAAAATTTATCAATTTGTCTTTTATGTTCACAGGTGATGGAAATCCTTGATCAGTTTACAAATAATTCTTGTAGTATTGTAATAACAGATACTTATTTTAATCTTTGACTTTAAATTGTTATATATTAATCTCTGAAGCTTAGGAAAAAGGTTTAAATCCACTTAAGATTTATAAATTTTACTTATTTATATTTTATAGTACTAACTAATTTCAATAGCCATTGTGGAAAAACGTCTCAAAAACAAGATATTCGCAAAGTTTATAAATAATTGATGCAGACAAGAAACAAATAAAACAACTCGTTTTCAAAATAGACTTGCTAATTGAGTCATTTAGATCAAAAAGGACAGACATTTGGAATTGCAAAACATTTTGTCTCTTTACAAATCAAGAAAACAAAGGTTCTTTCAACACAGTTTCTTGAACCGCTTTGCTTTCATGCTTTCCTGTTTTCACGTGGAATTTAAAAGAGCTCCTCTAAATAGCAGAAACTTCTAAAGTTAAGGAACTTTTATTCACACTTTTCACTATAGAAATACTTAGGTAAAGTCTGTAATAATACTGTTTACAAGTACTCATTTTAATATTTCAAGACGCGAGAAACATTCATTCTCTCCAAACATTCATTCTTTCTTAATTCATTCACTAATTGAAGCTGAAGCTTAAATATCCTCTGCGATAAAGCCATACTGATGTTTGAACAAACAACAGATATAATAACATAAACATACAATTCATACAAATTATATACATACAAGTTATAAAGCATGGAATTATCAACCATTAACATTTATGAGGTTTCTGTAATTGTGCGACCTATTTGCTTTTAAATGTGAAAAGGAGATTACAGTCTACAACAATGGCCACCGTTCGGGTATAATGTATGGAAAATTAAAATTGTGAAATATAAGAGACACGTTTATTACAAGATATGTCATATAAATGTAGTCATATATCCGATACTATGTTTTTATTATGTTACCATAATATGGTCACTATACAGAATTATTTTTCATTCGTTGAAACTAACTTAAGTAGGTATTTAATCATATATTATCTATTGTTAAGAAATTTATTATTGATATAATAATGATATGTTTTAATTACTTTATATTTATTTAAATAATCTAATGCTCTCGCAAAAAAACATAGTACTTCGTAATAGGACAATAAAATTTTAATTAATGCTCACATTCTTTCAACACTATATTGTCGAAATTAGTAATATTCAAATGTTAATTTTATAATAAAATTAAATGATTTCATCCCATAATCTTGAGAGCTGAGGCCTATACCTACTGTATGATGTAGATAAACTGTAGTATTATAATAAGACCTTTACCTAAATATTAAGATTACATGAGATTGTTTACGTAAAAGGAGATTAATGAAACATTCTAAGTGGTAACGTGATTGAATATTCAAAGGCAATTACAGATAACGGACTTAGCTTCTTAACTTATCACCATATATGGTCAAGGCATTAGATAAATGGTGGTTATTACGCTATGCTCGGTTTTATTTATATCGTACGGAAACAGATATCTATAAAAAATTATACATAGTTCTCAGTTTAAATAAAAAGTATCTCAATAATAAATAGTTACCACATACTATCTATCTAGTTAAAAAAATAGTTTTAGCAGTTAAATCGACTTATAATGCGCATCCCAACCATGCTTGAACGTATCTGTCCTCAAAAGGGTTGAGAATTGTTCTTGGTATAAAAGGGGAGAATATGTACACTTTCCTTTTGTTCGAACACTGCACAAAAGATTAATTCTAAGCACCAAAAACAGAAGATCCTTTGTGTACATTATAAATACCTACATTTGTGTAGCTTTATATAATAGTGATATTTTAAAATACAATCATTGAATGTGTAAGAAAGGAAACAAAATAGGAATTAGGATTTAATTCATGTATGTACATATATGTACTTATATACGGTACTAAACTTCAATATCGGAATAAGCTAAAAATACATTGACAGTGTGTCAAATTAATGTTCTTTTATTTCTTAATCTTAAACTCTCTCTCATATTTCAATAGTAAGTCTCACATTTGTTCCATATATGTAATTTTAAGCACCATTTTATACGGAAAGTTTAAGCACGAGTCTCCTTAGTGTATCTATGTCTATTGTAAATGGTAAACGAAATTATGGCTATCAATAATACTAGATAAACGTATTATATTTACATATATAAAAAAAATGTTTGTGCATTTGAAAAAGAGACTATTTTACATTATGTATATATGTTTAAAAATACAAAGGGACAGAGTCACGTTTAGCCACAAGTTAATCTCGCGGCATATTACGCCATATTTCCGCCGTCGGCGCCATCTAACGATCGCTTTAATTATATTGTTGAAAACTATATTTACAATAATTTAATATCTTATCCTCATTAATTGAGTTGAGCAATCGTTACAACTTCAAGGAACTAGCAACGAATGATATCATTATTGACGGTGGACTAAAAAGGTATTGAATTCGATTTTATCTTTTATGAACGTACACGTACTCTATTTATCTTTTCATATCTTTATCTTTAGAATTATTGTTTTTGGTGATCAGACTATTTTTCGGAGCACGTGTCAAGAATGTTATTTAAAATAACAGTGTTTTCGCATATAACCAAAGGCACAGCGGAACCGAGGTTACAATAATTATTTTAACCACCAAATCGAAATATAATCGATTGTAAACGGAACGATGGTAACTAATTATTCGCTAGATTTCAATTATTATTAAAAATAATAAATTTTGGAATATTTCTTTAATGAAAATTTATTTAATCGAAATTCAATAATCCCATAAATAATTTATAATGGTCTACACGACGGCTAAGGCGAAACTCCGGAGGAATTCCAAAATAATTAAAACGTGTTAAGATAAAAATAACACAAAATGTAGCTAAAAAATGTAAAATGTAAATATAAATGCATTAATAAATAAGGAAACAATAATTTAATTAATAAATTCAGCAATAAATTAATTAATCTTACTGATAAGCACACGCTGTCCTCACTTGGACATTACGGCAGAATATTACGACGGGCATTACCATGTCGGAGCTCGTTTACACTGTGTCCGAAAGATTTATATTTATCATGGATACTTTTGATTGTTCCTGGTTTAAGACATGTAACCTAACTCGATGAATATAACTTTGTAAGAGTAAGAAAGCAGGAGAGATGATAGTTCCTAATTACGTTTCGATATTGTACTATCCCCTTAAGGTCCAGAAAAAACAACATTAAATTGTACTCATTTCTTTGAATGTTTTAATTTATTTTTTTCGTAAAGTCGGTTCGATATTCTGTATAAAAGTTTCAGGCAATTTGCGGAATTCATAACAGTTCGACGACCCGCACCTCCGAAACCTGATAATATCCCGAGTTCAAGGGCGATCGTAGAATGTTTGTGTGAAATAACATTTTTATACGACCTGTCATCTGAAAAGATATCTTAACAATGACATTTCTAAAGAAAATTTAATTATTTCGGGCAATATGTTAAAGTTGAAGTAAATCTACTTTTATACGTATACAAAAACGAGCAAAAAGATATTTATATTTTTTCATTAAATATAAAATATTTATTAATAATATTCAAAGACTTTTAAATTTAATTGAGAATTAAAATATGTAACTTTTAAAGATATTTGAACATCAAGCATCATGAAATTTCCCCTGAAATAGCTTTTTTTTTTGCTAGAGAACAAATAAGATCAATCATATTGTCAAAAATAAATAAATCATCTTACAATTTATTACAATTTATGCTAACTAAAGATGGTATCGATAACATTGTGAACACGAATAATATTTATTTCCAACATCATTTGTCAGAGGATTATTTTGGAGGTCTATAATACAGCCGATACTTTATTGGAATTACAGCAAATACTGAAATAATTAGTACTCCTGGGATTCCTGTCTTGTAAATATATCTTAATATTTACTTTGAAAATCATAATGAATCACAATGTTCCGGCGAATATTTAAAATTCTAGAAATAATTTAATACTTTGCAATAACTTATTTTTAAACCATATTATAAGGAATAAATAAATGCACTATTTGGAAAAACGTTTAAATTTACAAGAAAGTCTTGATAAATGTTTCTATTTCTCATTAAAACTTTTTGCAAGATAATTAATGCTTCCCTTGAATCGGCAAAACCTTTGAAGTTGCAAAATGTTATCAGGAAGTTGCCAGGATCAATTAAATCCAACTAGTCGACAAATAGGTGTAACGTACACGGAATGGCCAAACATGGCGTAATCGACTAATGGTCATAATAATCAAGATTCCTTCCCAAGGCAATGCCAATACGGCCCTAAATGGCGACGGTGATTTCCGAGGTTGTTTAGAGTCCCAACATACAATGCCGCAGTTTTTAAACATTATAAAAGCCATTCAATTACCAAATTTGCAAAAATTTATTATGTTTACGATTTTCTTGTTCCATCGAGGGAAGCCTGAATATTACAAAATAACATGGGTTTTAATTTTAAATCAAGTATAACAGTTTTTTTAGGCTACAAACAGGA